CCACACACACACACACACACACACACACACACACACACACACACACACACACACACACACACAGAGACTCACTATCCCACACACACCTATCCACACACAGACTCTCACACACACACAGATTTGTACCAACAACGCATGCGCCCCGCCAATTTCTCAGATTACTAGACCATCAAAGAGTTGCCTGCCCACTAAAAAACTTAATTAGGATCTGGTAATTAGCCCGGGGTAGCGTGTAATTAATAGAGGCATTAACTCAGGTAAGTAAACGTTATACTGAGCTAGCATGTAGGCCTATATGGGATTCTGATGTGATACGTTCTGAGTGAACAAACTCTTTGAAATCCCTAGACCCCCCCCCCCCTTACAATCCTTACAAACACGACAGGATTAAATCCTTACTTTTTGAATTCAGCTTTTCCCTGTACTCTAGTGTCTGATATATTAGACGTGCTGCCAGAGAAACAGTTGGATTAAACCCGCTTAGCGTTTAGAGCTGCTTAGAGTGGCTACACTCTAACTTAATGACTGATGTGTTACTTTTTGTGTTCAACTAGAAATGATGGGGCTAAAAATAGAAAAAACTGAGCTAATGGCATAACGTAAGTTATTTCTGGAATAAAATACTCTCATGTCTCCTTGTGTCTGTCGGCTGTAGGTTCTTGCGGAGTTTTTGTTTAGAGGAGTTTTTGTTTAGAGGAGTTTTTGTTTAGAGGAGTTTTTGTTTAGAGGAGTTTTTGTTTAGAGGAGTTTTTGTTTAGAGGAGTTTTTGTTTAGAGGAGTTTTTGTTTAGAGGAGTTTTTGTTTAGAGGAGTTTTTGATTAGAGGAGTTTTTGTTTAGAGGAGTTTTTGTTTAGAGGAGTTTTTGTTTAGAGGAGTTTTTGTTTAGAGGAGTTTTTGTTTAGAGGAGATTTTGTCTACAGGAGTTTTTGTCTAGAGGAGATTTTGTCTACAGGAGTTTTTGTCTAGAGGAGATTTTGTCTACAGGAGTTTTTGTCTAGAGGAGATTTTGTTTAGAGGAGTTTTTGTCTAGAGGAGATTTTGTCTACAGGAGTTTTTGTCCAGAGGAGTTTTTGTCTAGAGGAGGTTTTGTCTAGAGGAGGTTTTGTCTAGAAGAGATTTTGTCTAGAGGAGATTTTGTTTAGAGGAGTTTTTGTCTAGAGGAGATTTTGTCTACAGGAGTTTTTGTCCAGAGGAGTTTTTGTCTAGAGGAGTTTTTGTTTAGAGGAGTTTTTGTCTAGAGGAGATTTTGTCTAGAGGAGTTTTTGTCTAGAGGAGGTTTTGTCTAGAGGAGATTTTGTCTACAGGAGTTTTTGTCTAGAGGAGTTTTTGTCTAGAGGAGGTTTTGTCTAGAGGAGTTTTTGTCTAGAGGAGTTTTTGTCTAGAGGAGTTTTTATCTAGAAGAGTTTTTGTCTAGAGGAGGTTTTGTCTAGAGGAGATTTTGTCTACAGGAGTTTTTGTCTAGAGGAGGCTTTGTCTAGAAGAGTTTTTGTCTAGAGGAGGTTTTGATTGAGCATCACATTATGACTGGACATCTCCTTCTGATTTGACACGCCATAACGACGTTGTAATCAGCCTCTATTGTCCCCCCCCCTCCCCTGATGGTCTGGAAACTTTCTTCATGGCGGAGCTTGCTTATAGTTCGTGTGTATGTGTGGAAAAGGGGGGGGGGGGGGCTTAAGTCGCCGTGTGTGGTGATGGTGTGTTAAGGTTTTAATCTCAGTATGTGGTGGAGGTTTTAGTCCCTGAATGGTAAAGGTGTGTCGATGTTATTTTTAGTGTGCCGATGACGTGTAAAGATATTTAAATAGATTAACATCTCAATTTTTCTATCTTTGATACATTACACGATACTCTACACAACACGATACTCTACACAACACGATACTCTATACAACACGATACTCTATAATACACAACACGATACTCTACACAACACGATACTCTATACAACACGATACTCTATACAACACGATACTCTATGCAACACGATACTTTACACAACACGATACTCTACAGAACACGATACTCTACACAACACGATACTCTATACAACACGATACTCTACACAACACGATACTCTACACGATACTCTACACGATACTCTACACGATATTCTACACGATACTCTACACAACACGATACTCTACACAACACGATACTCTATACAACACGATACTCTACACGATACCCAACATACAACCCGCCCATAACGTCTCGAGGTTTCACTTTTGTTCACGTTCTGTTATTCTGTTGTAACAAATAACTTGACCTCTAACCCTGAATGGCACGTGATAAATGGCCTCTGTAAGTGAAATCTGCTGTGTGGGTGGTAGAAGCCAGTTGGCGATAAAATCGATGGGAACAATTTATGGTAGGATATTTTCTCACCAGTCGAATTCAATATTTAATGAAATCCAATCATGTAGTTAGAACAGCACATGTTGAGATGTCGGTATGAAAGTGATGTCACGATTCAACCCCCCCCCCCCTTTCCTCTCTCCTAAACAGGAACTTCTTTGTTTCTAATCGCTAATCACTAATTATTATTGAAAGTTTTAACAAACCTGATTCAATATAAGGTACAAAGTTTTATTACAATTTGCAGATCGTCCTTTAAAATTTAAAAAAAAAAAAACCAATTAAATGTTTAGGACACAAGATTAACAAGTGTGCGACATCGCCTACATTACCCCCCCCCCTCCCCTTTCTCAGCTTCGTCACAATGAGTTTAGAACAGACGGTCAGTGGTAGGGGTGAGCAATACCCCTCCCCCCAACCCCCAATCGTTAGGTGCTAGGTAAAGAAACTCTGGGTATGTTTGGAGTGTACGATCAGAAGTAGGTTTGAAGTAGAAGGTATACCTTCTGATAGCAATGACAAATGTGCATAACCGACCGAGTTCGTGCTAAAATAAAACTAAAGGCAGAAAATGACAATATGAACATGAACAGAATTCTATGAACAAACAGAAAGTGTCCGTTGTTTATGTGAGACAGAACACCGGCCATACATCAACACCGTGTTTACATACGACGCAGTAGTTCCCCTTTAGCATGTTTTATTGCAGCCCTGGATTATTTCCCCTGTAGAAGGCGGTATATCATTGTTACATGCACTAGGAATTCCCCTTCCCGTCCATCTGGTGGTCCAATCACTTCCGGTGTACGGAAATAACTATTCGCGTCATACATAAATATATTTACTGCACCCAGCCCCCATATGTCAACATGTTGGAAGAACAAACTCATGTATAGATTCTAACCGCTGGAGAACGTAAACAATGCTTTTCCACTCTCCCCACCCCACCCCGATCTGGCTATCGCCCCCCAGAGGCGTAGCGATGGGGGGGGGGGGGGCAGGAGGGTACATTTGTCCCCGGGCGCCGACCTTAGGGGGCGCCAAAATGGGTTGTAAAAACAAATTAAAATGTCATTTTAGCTGCATTTTTGCAATTTGAGGGGGGGGGGGGGGTGAAAATCGAAAGTTTGAGGGGGTGCAAATCGAAAATTTGAATGGGGGGGGGGCTGCAAATCGAAAATTTGCTCCCGAGGGGGCGCCAAATTGAAAGTTTGTCCCCGGGCGCCGGGAAGGGTCGCTACGCCTCTGCGCCCCCCCCCCTCAATGATCTGGCTTCCCTACCTCGATGATCTGACTGACCTCCCCTAATGATCTGGCTACCCCCCCCCCCCCCACCCCCTGATAAAACAAGACGTCATCAAAACATCTCACGAGCACATCGCGTGCATGTAAAACACGTGCGTGAGCCGGGAGACAACCGAGGCAGAAGGAAATATTTAAAAAACAAATTAACATCGTAATGGCGTCACGCGCTGTTTATTCATTCAGAACATTCATGTCTAGAGAACATTCATGTCTAGAGAACATTCATGTCTAGAGAACATTTATGTCTAGAGAACATTCAGGTCTAGATAACATTCATGCCTAGAGAACATTCATGTCTAGAGAACATTCATGTCTAGAGAACATTCAGGTCTAGAGAACATTCATGTCTAGAGAACATTCATGTCTAGAGAACATTCATGTCTAGAGAACATTCATGTCTAGAGAACATTCAGGTCTAGATAACATTCATGCCTAGAGAACATTCATGTCTAGAGAACATTCATGTCTAGAGAACATTCAGGTCTAGAGAACATTCATGTCTAGAGAACATTCATGTCTAGAGAACATTCATGTCTAGAGAACATTCATGTCTAGAGAACATTCATGCCCAGAGAACATTCATGTCTAGAGAACATTCATGTCTAGAGAACATTCATGTCTAGAGAACATTCATGTCTAGAGAACATTCAAGTCCAGTGGTATAGTTCATAAAATGGTCTAATTAATACCTAATTAACTGTTCAGTGGTACAGTTCATCACATCGTCTAATTAACCACCAGTGGTATGATTCGACAAATGGTACGATGCGGAGTTTTTGAAGGCAGACACCAAAATATTTTCCCACCATCCTAAAGCCCCAATCAAACAAGCGACAATCGAGCGTTCAATTTTTGTTTGTTTTATTCCACAAAAAATTCACGACCAAATTAAAATTTTACTTCTTGTAATATTTCTTTAAATGAGACACATCTCTATGAAATCTCAGTGAAATGAATTTTAGCACATTAAAAATTAAAAACAAAAAAGAATAGGCTACTGAAAATACTTTAAAAAAATAAACATCAATATTTTCGAACACTTTTGTGAAATGATTTCTGTCATTCGTCTTTAGACGGATAATTAGGGACCAATAGCAGGGAGTAGATTTTAATTAATTTTATGTAAGGTTTGATATTGTCTTGTGAACGGATTGTTAGGATTTTTACAAACTATTTTAACAAATTTCATAATTTTAAAAAGCAATTTTTACAAACAAATAAAACAATTTTAACAAACAGTTTTAACAAACAATTTAACAAACTATTTTAGCAAATACGTGTAATTAAAATTTTAATAAGTGAACTAATTAAAATTAAAATGTAATTGTATCCCCCAGGGTACATGAACCAGATGCACACGCCGGACACTGACGTCATCGTGGCTCACAGCAGCTGCCAGCACAGCAAACCGTTGTCTCACGTGCAGAGCTTGATGCCAGGTAGGTCAAGGTCACAGAATCGAGTCAGGTAGGTCAAGTTCATATCACATGTCAGGTGGGCCTAGATCACAGCATCTATTTCCCCTGTATCTCACCTGTAACTCTCCTGTAACTCATCTGTAACTCTCCTGTAACTCACCTGTAACTCACCTGTAACTCACCTGTAACTCACCTGTAACTCACCAGTACCTCTCCTGTAACTCACTGAAATGTTGTTCTATGCTTCTAGCTGTGACTCCTGACTCTTCGGCCATGACTCGCATCGTCCAGCGAGAAGAAGAGGAGGTGAACGTCATAGTGGCTCAGATCAAAGGGAAGCTGACGCAGGCTGGGGTAGGTAGTTGGCTGACGCAGACTGGGGTAGGTAGTTGGGTGGGGTAGGTAGTTGGGTGACGCAGGCTGGGGTAGGTAGTTGGGTGACGCAGGCTGGGGTAGGTAGTTGGGTGACGCAGGCTGGGGTAGGTAGTTGGGTGGGGTAGGTAGTTGGGTGACGCAGGCTGGGGTAGGTAGTTGGGTGACGCAGGCTGGGGTAGGTAGTTGGGTGACGCAGGCTGGGGTAGGTAGTTGGGTGACGCAGGCTGGGGTAGGTAGTTGGCTGACGCAGGCTGGGGTAGGTAGTTGGCAGGCTGGGGTAGGTAGTTGGGTGACGCAGGCTGGGGTAGGTAGTTGGGTGACGCAGGCCTGGGGTAGGTAGTTGGGTGACGCAGGCTGGGGTAGGTAGTTGGGTGACGCAGGCTGGGGTAGGTAGTTGGGTGACGCAGGCTGGGGTAGGTAGTTGGGTGACGCAGGCTGGGGTAGGTAGTTGGCTGGCTGGGGTAGGTAGTTGGGTGACGCAGGCTGGGGTAGGTAGTTGGGTGACGCAGGCTGGGGTAGGTAGTTGGGTGACGCAGGCTGGGGTAGGTAGTTGGGTGACGCAGGCTGGGGTAGGTAGTTGGGTGACGCAGGCTGGGGTAGGTAGTTGGCTGACGCAGGCTGGGGTAGGTAGTTGGCAGGCTGGGGTAGGTAGTTGGGTGACGCAGGCTGGGGTAGGTAGTTGGGTGACGCAGGCCTGGGGTAGGTAGTTGGGTGACGCAGGCTGGGGTAGGTAGTTGGGTGACGCAGGCTGGGGTAGGTAGTTGGGTGGGGTAGGTAGTTGGGTGACGCAGGCTGGGGTAGGTAGTTGGGTGGGGTAGGTAGTTGGGTGGGGTAGGTAGTTGGTGGGGTAGGTAGTTGGCTGACGCAGGCTGGGGTAGGTAGTTGGCTGACGCAGGCTGGGGTAGGTAGTTGGGTGGGGTAGGTAGTTGGGTGGGGTAGGTAGTTGGCTGACGCAGGCTGGGGTAGGTAGTTGGCTGACGCAGGCTGGGGTAGGTAGTTGGGTGACGCAGGCTGGGGTAGGTAGTTGGCTGACGCAGGCTGGGGTAGGTAGTTGGGTGGGGTAGGTAGTTGGCTGACGCAGGCTGGGGTAGGTAGTTGGGTGGGGTAGGTAGTTGGCTGACGCAGGCTGGGGTAGGTAGTTGGGTGACGCAGGCTGGGGTAGGTAGTTGGTTGACGCAGGCTGGGGTAGGTAGTTGGGTGACGCAGGCCTGGGGTAGGTAGTTGGGTGACGCAGGCTGGGGTAGGTAGTTGGGTGACGCAGGCTGGGGTAGGTAGTTGGGTGACGCAGGCTGGGGTAGGTAGTTGGGTGACGCAGGCTGGGGTAGGTAGTTGGGTGACGCAGGCTGGGGTAGGTAGTTGGGTGACGCAGGCTGGTGTAGGGAGTTGGGTGACGCAGGCTGGGGTAGGTAGTTGGGTGACGCAGGCTGGGGTAGGTAGTTGGGTGACGCAGGCTGGGGTAGGTAGTTGGCAGGCTGGGGTAGGTAGTTGGGTGACGCAGGCTGGGGTAGGTAGTTGGGTGACGCAGGCTGGGGTAGGTAGTTGGGTGGGGTAGGTAGTTGGGTGACGCAGGCTGGGGTAGGTAGTTGGGTGACGCAGGCTGGGGTAGGTAGTTGGCTGACGCAGGCTGGGGTAGGTAGTTGGGTGACGCAGGCTGGGGTAGGTAGTTGGCTGACGCAGGCTGGGGTAGGTAGTTGGGTGGGGTAGGTAGTTGGCTGACGCAGGCTGGGGTAGGTAGTTGGGTGGGGTAGGTAGTTGGCTGACGCAGGCTGGGGTAGGTAGTTGGGTGACGCAGGCTGGGGTAGGTAGTTGGGTGACGCAGGCCTGGGGTAGGTAGTTGGGTGACGCAGGCTGGGGTAGGTAGTTGGGTGACGCAGGCTGGGGTAGGTAGTTGGGTGACGCAGGCTGGGGTAGGTAGTTGGGTGACGCAGGCTGGGGTAGGTAGTTGGGTGATGCAGGCTGGGGTAGGTAGTTGGGTGACGCAGGCTGGGGTAGGTAGTTGGGTGACGCAGGCTGGTGTAGGGAGTTGGGTGACGCAGGCTGGGGTAGGTAGTTGGGTGACGCAGGCTGGGGTAGGTAGTTGGGTGACGCAGGCTGGGGTAGGTAGTTGGCAGGCTGGGGTAGGTAGTTGGGTGACGCAGGCTGGGGTAGGTAGTTGGGTGACGCAGGCTGGGGTAGGTAGTTGGGTGGGGTAGGTAGTTGGGTGACGCAGGCTGGGGTAGGTAGTTGGGTGACGCAGGCTGGGGTAGGTAGTTGGGTGACGCAGGCTGGGGTAGGTAGTTGGGTGACGCAGAATGGTTTAGGTAGTTGGGTGACGCAGGCTGGGGTAGGTAGTTGGGTGACGCAGGCTGGGGTAGGTAGTTGGGTGACGCAGGCTGGGGTAGGTAGTTGGGTGACGCAGGCTGGGGTAGGTAGTTGGGTGACGCAGGCTGGGGTAGGTAGTTGGCTGACGCAGGCTGGGGTAGGTAGTTGGGTGACGCAGGCTGGGGTAGGTAGTTGGCTGACGCAGGCTGGGGTAGGTAGTTGGCTGACGCAGGCTGGGGTAGGTAGTTGGCTGACGCAGGCTGGGGTAGTTGGGTGACGCAGGCTGGGGTAGTTAGTTGGGTGACGCAGGCTGGGGTAGGTAGTTGGCTGACGCAGGCTGGGGTAGTTGGGTAACTCACGGCGGGTTTGGCATTAGTGACGCATAAATTGGGTAGTTGTGACGTGATTATGGATAATATGTAACAGTGACGTTAGATGTCGTTATATATCAGCTATTTTTCTTGAACCTTGACCTTTCCAATTTTCCCGCCTGCCGCAGGTCAGGGGCAAGCTGCTGCGGCTGACGGGGGAGCCGGGCCCCGCCATCGTCCAGGCCGCCCTGGAGCACAAGGTCCAGTGTATCGTGACCGGTTCCAGAGGTCTCGGCACCGTTCGCAGAACTCTTGTCGGCTCGGTCTCTGACTACATCCTGCACCACTCGCATTGTCCGGTCCTCGTCTGTAGACACAAGGACACGTGATCACAGGACACAAGGTCACGTGATCATGAGACACAAGGTCACATGACACAAGGTCACGTGATCACAGGACACAAGATCACGTGATCACAGGACATAAAGTCACGTGATCACGAGACACAAGGTCACGTGACCATAGGACACAGGGTCACGTGATCACAGGACACTGGGACATAATCACAGATGACACTATACACCTTGACACCGCACACACAATGCTAGACACCGGGAAGATGGCCACGCCCACCAGATAACACGCATGCGCAACACACCGGTCTAAAACTTGGAGATGTCATTCAATGTACGGCTGATGTTTGTGTGAAAAACTTTTGATTACAAGAATGTGATTTTTTTCTGTGATAAAAGGACGGTAACTAAGGGATGTGTGCTGTCAACTTTTCTCATTTGTTTAGGGATATAAATCTGTTTGGCTGAGTTTACACCGTGTTTTGGTATTTCTTTAATCTGTTATGTGAGTAAATGTGCTATCAGCTATCGTAAACATTTGAGGGCAGTTGTGGCAGACATATAATACCTGGACAGACCCCAAATACCTGGACAGACCCCCAAATACCTGGACCAGCCCCCAAATACCTGGACAGACCCCCAAATACCTGGACAGACCCCCATATACCTGGACAGACCCCCAAATACCTGGACAGACCCCCAAATACCTGGACAGACCCCCAAATACCTGGACAGACCCCCAAATACCTGGACAGACCCCCAAATACCTGGACAGACCCCCAAATACCTGGACAGACCCCCAAATACCTGGACAGACCCAAAATACCTGGACAGACCCCCAAATACCTGGACAGACCCCCAAATACCTGGACAGACCCCCAAATACATGGACAGACCCCCAAATACCTGGACCAACCCCCAAATACCTGGACAGACCCCCAAATACCTGGACAGACCCCCAAATACCTGGACAGACCCCCATATACCTGGACAGACCCCCAAATACCTGGACAGACCCCCAAATACCTGGACAGACCCCCAAATACCTGGACAGACCCCCAAATACCTGGACAGACCCCAAATACCTGGACAGACCCCCAAATACCTGGACAGACCCCCAAATACCTGGACAGACCCCAAATACCTGGACAGACCCCAAGTAACTGGACAGACCCCAAATACCTGGACAGACCCCCAAATACCTGGACAGACCCCCAAATACCTGGACAGACCCCAAATACCTGGACAGACCCCAAGTAACTGGACAGACCCCAAATACCTGGACAGACCCACCAAATACCTGGACAGACCCCAAATACCTGGACAGACCCCAAGTAACTGGACAGACCCCAAATACCTGGACAGACCCACCAAATACCTGGACAGACCCCCAAATACATGGACAGACCCCAAATACCTGGACAAACCCCAAATACCTGGACAGACCCCAAATACCTGGACATGCACCCAAATACCTGGACAGACCCCCAAATACCTGGACAGACCCCAAATACCTGGACAGACCCCCAAATACCTGGACAGACCCCCAAATACCTGGACAGACCCCCAAATACATGGACAGACCCCAAATACCTGGACAGACCCCCATATACCTGGACAGACCCCCAAATACCTGGACCAACCCCCAAATACCCGGACATGCACCCAAATACCTGGACAGACCCCCAAATACCTGGACAGACCCCCAAATACCTGGACAGACCCCCAAATACCTGGACAGACCCCCAAATACCTGGACAGACCCCCTAATACATGGACAGACCCCCAAATACCTGGCAGACCCCCAAAAACCCGGACAGACCCCAAATACCTGGACAGACCCCCAAATACCTGGACATGCACCCAAATACCTGGACAGACCCCAAATACCTGGACATGCCCACAAATGCCTGGAAAGAACCCCCATATACCTATATAGACCTCATTAACCCGGATGTGGGGTCACCAAGTCAATGTCCTCAAGGAAATAAACCTGACATGTTGAAAACCATTTTTTGGTTGGTGAAGTAAAAACCCAGACTCTCCTTCCATTTAGATGATCTACATCGCGTGATTATCGGTAAATAGGTCACGCCTGATGAAAGGCTAATGGGATGAGTGGCTCGCTTAAATCAAATGAAATGGGTTAAAAATAGAAACGGCTGTCAAGTGGTCACGCTCGTGGACTGTCATGGTGGGACTTGACTTGAGTTCAGTCATCCGATATGACTTAGGATCTAGACGGTCTGATGGTGCCTTGTGGGTCCTGTCAGATTAGGCGAGTAAATATCACGTGACTCGCGTCATCCAGCCCCGAGTCATGTGACTCAGGTGGAAACATGGGGGGGGGGGGGGGGCAACAGGAAACACCAGGTGGTAGTCTCGTTATTTTATCTTAATTAAAATTCCTCGTTAATGAACTAATGAAATTAATTAATTGAGCAACAAATTAATTATCCCCGCTGTTTACACAGCAATGTGCCTTGTGGGTGGCTAGAAAAAATGGTAGCCAAAACCTTGTTTAAAACGTGAGTGCTAGTCTCCTACATAGATTTGTTTAAACTTGAGTGCTAGTCTCCTACATAGATTTGTTTAAACTTGAGTGCTAGTCTCCTACATAGATTTGTTTAAACTTGAGTGCTAGTCTCCTACATAGATTTGTTTAAACTTGAGTGCTAGTCTCCTACATAGATTTGTTTAAACTTGAGTGCTAGTCTCCTACATAGATTTGTTTAAACTTGAGTGCTAGTCTCCTACATAGATTTGTTTAAACTTGAGTGCTAGTCTCCTACATAGATTTGTTTAAACTTGAGTGCTAGTCTCCTACATAGATTTGTTTAAACTTGAGTGCTAGTCCCCTACATAGATTTGTTTAAACTTGAGTGCTAGTCTCCTACATAGATTTGTTTAAACTTGAGTGCTAGTCTCCTACATAGATTTGTTTAAACTTGAGTGCTAGTCTCCTACATAGATTTGTATAAACTTGAGTGCTAGTCTCCTACATAGATTTGTTTAAACTTGAGTGCTAGTCTCCTACATAGATTTGTGTGGGGACCAATGTACTCCTCTGCTGTCGGAGTTTTACTGTTCTTTATATTATTTTAAACACCCCCCCCCCCAATCTCCATATTGTAAAATGTCATCACAAAAACAGGTCTTCGTATTTTTAACCCAGGTCACTAAGCTAAATCTCACCCCCCCCCCCCCCTAAACCAAACGTCTAACAAAAATGCCAATCTCCATCATTTTTAGAGCAATACAAAATGGCTGTCACATCCCACACAATTATCCCGAGTCCCGAGTAACACAATTCTGTTGGTCTGTAGTTGGCATCCAATCTACATTAACATATCAACCCTTGTCAAAGAATACAGAACAATGTTAACACCTAGCATGTTCATTTATTTATATTGAAACATCCAATCAAAAAATTGGATTGACGTTTACAAACACAAGAGCGCATGTCAGTTTAAACCACACAGCATTATGCAGACGTCACCAGTCGCATGTCCAGGGTCAAGGTCATCTGTATGTCTCACCAGCAGACGTGACCCAGTTCCGTCGCCCGCTCAGTGTTCCCCGTGCAGGTCAGACAATTTGATGACGCCAACAAACGACAGTTTGAAATGGCCGATGTACACCTGGTCGCCGTGTGCAAAAGCTTCGCTCAGGGCCGAGATCACGTGACCCCCAGGGTCATGATGTGACGTCACTATGTGACCTTGGTCGTCTATCTCTAGCATCAGCGCGTGACGGGGGAGGAAGACGTCAAAAAAAGAGGCGGGGATGATCTGAAATCAAACATTTGAAATATGGATGCTGTCAACCCCCACAACCCCCACACTCACCCACACCCTCCACACCCAGCACATGCTAGTTGTGTGGACGTGTGGGACACCAAATGTAGCACTTAAATAGCAAGTCACACCTTTGTAACGAGCCGTTTGATTGGCGGGTATGGCGCCACGAGATCCAGGAAAGAACCAATGAGACTTGAGCCCTTGAAGCGAACAGACCCCATCCCCACGTAATAGAAGCCACGGCTGTTCCGCTTCAGGTTGTCTGGGTAGCCGGGCAGGTTGGTCACCAGGGGCTCTCTCTGCCCCACCCTGGGGCCGCTCAGGTGAATCCTGGGGACAAGGTGAACTCTGAAGAAACCCTGAACACAAAGTGAACCCTGGATAAACCCTGAACTCAAGGTGAACCCTGGATAAACCCTGAACACAAGATGAACCCTGGATAAACCCTGAACACAAGATGAACTCTGGATAAACCCTGAACACATGATGAACTCTGGATAAACCCTGAACACAAGATGAACTCTGGATAAACCCTGAACACAAGGTGAACCCTGGATAAACACTGAACACAAGATCGTGCCTAAAGACTCGGTTACATGACACAAGTCTATCGCACTTTGACCCTACTGTACAAAGAATCTCCATATCCTATGACCTATCTAGATGTACAACAAATGTAACAGTATATCTAGATGTACACTATATGTAACCGTATATGTAGATGTCACACTTTACTTTGTTATGGCCGAGATACTCATCTCAGCTACCAGCAGGTACGTCCCGTCCAGCGAGACACAGACGCCATTGGCCAGGTACAGGCCGTCTTGCACCAGTCGGGCTGCCCTTGACCCTGGGTCCAGTGCCAGAACTCGGCCCAATCGGTTGGTTTCAATCACCTGAAAATGATTGGTTTTCATTGACCTCAATCATATCAGAAGTCTCTAACATAGTTTAAATTATATTTGACTTAGTTCATCCAAGATGGATTCGATCCCAAGACCCAGACGTAGGGCAGCTCACCCAGAGTTTCTTCCAGAAACTTCCACTTTTAACAGTGTCCGCCCCCCCCCGAAGAAAGTTTACCGCCCCCCCCCCTGAAAATTTCAAGTGCCCCCCCCCCCCCCCGGAGAAAAAAGTCTGGAAGAAACACTGAGCTCACATGTAGTAGGACTAAACTTACCTCATACCTGTAGTGGGACTAAACTTACCTCATACCTGTAGTGGGACTAAACTTACCTCGTACCTGTAGTGGGACTAAACTTACCTCGTACCTGTAGTGGGACTAAACTTACCTCATACCTGTAGTGGGACTAAACTTACCTCATACCTGTAGTAGGACTAAACTTACCTCATACCTGTAGTGGGACTAAACTTACCTCATACCTGTAGTGGGACTAAACTTACCTCGTACCTGTAGTGGGACTAAACTTACCTCGTACCTGTAGTGGGACTAAACTTACCTCGTACCTGTAGTGGGACTAAACTTACCTCGTACCTGTAGTGGGACTAAACTTACCTCGTACCTGTAGTGGGACTAAACTTACCTCGTACCTGTAGTGGGACTAAACTTACCTCGTACCTGTAGTGGGACTAAACTTACCTCGTACCTGTAATGGGACTAAACTTACCTCGTACCTGTAGTGGGACTAAACTTACCTCGTACCTGTAGTGGGACTAAACTTACCTCGTACCTGTAGTGGGACTAAACTTACCTCGTACCTGTAGTGGGACTAAACTTACCTCGTACCTGTAGTGGGACTAAACTTACCTCGTACCTGTAGTGGGACTAAACTTACCTCGTACCTGTAGTGGGACTAAACTTACCTCGTACCTGTAGTGGGACTAAACTTACCTCGTACCTGTAGTGGGACTAAACTTACCTCGTACCTGTAGTGGGACTAAACTTACCTCGTACCTGTAGTGGGACTAAACTTACCTCGTACCTGTAGTGGGACTAAACTTACCTCGTACCTGTAGTGGGACTAAACTTACCTCGTACCTGTAGTGGGACTAAACTTACCTCGTACCTGTAGTGGGACTAAACTTACCTCGTACCTGTAGTGGGACTAAACTTACCTCGTACCTATAGTGGGACTAAACTTACCTCGTACCTGTAGTGGGACTAAACTTACCTCGTACCTGTAGTGGGACTAAACTTACCTCGTACCTGTAGTGGGACTAAACTTACCTCGTACCTGTAGTGGGACTAAACTTACCTCGTACCTGTAGTGGGACTAAACTTACCTCGTACCTGTAGTGGGACTAAACTTACCTCGTACCTGTAGTCTCGTCTCTCCCACTTAGTGCTCGAGTCTGTGAAATAGATGGTGCCATCCGGCCCAATGTCAAGGCCATTGAGAAATCTAAACCTGGATCCATTAAAACCTGGAACAAAAGGCGTGTGTCATGTTTTACAATCAATGGCTAATTCCATCTTTTATGGCACATTTGTGATTAAGTGTTGTTGTTTCATTCAACGACACTGATGCTCAACAAAGTCCAGTACTGTCCACCAAACAAGGTCCAGTACTTACTGTCCACTAAGGTCCAGTACTTACTGTCCACTAAGGTCCAGTACTTACTGTCCACTAAGATCCAGTACTTCCTGTCCACTAAGGTCCAGTACTTACTGTCCACTAAGGTCCAGTACTTACTGTCCACTAAGGTCCAGTACTTACTGTCCACTAAGGTCCAGTACTTACTGTCCACTAAGGTCCAGTACTTACTGTCCACTAAGGTCCAGTACTTACTGTCCACTAAGGTCCAGTACTTACTGTCCACTAAGGTCCAGTACTTACTGTCCACTAAGGTCCAGTACTTACTGTCCACTAAGGTCCAGTACTTACTGTCCACTAAGGTCCAGTACTTACTGTCCACTAAGGTCCAGTACTTTCTGTCCACTAAGGTCCAGCACTTACTGTCCACTAAGGTCCAGCACTTACTGTCCACTAAGGTCCAGCACTTACTGTCCACTAAGGTCCAGCACTTACTGTCCACCAAGGTCCAGCACTTACTGTCCACCAAGGTCCAGCACTTACTGTCCACCAAGGTCCAGCACTTACTGTCCACCAAGGTCCAGCACTTACTGTCCACTAAGGTCCAGCACTTACTGTCCACCAAGGTCCAGCACTTACTGTCCACTAAGGTCCAGCACTTACTGTCCACTAAGGTCCAGCACTTACTGTCCGCTAAGGTCCAGCACTTACTGTCCGCTAAGGTCCAGTACTTACTGTCCACTAAGGTCCAGTACTTACTGTCCACTAAGGTCCAGTACTTACTGTCCACTAAGGTCCAGTACTTACTGTCCACTAAGGTCCAGTACTTACTGTCCACTAAGGTCCAGTACTTACTGTCCACTAAGGTCCAGTACTTACTGTCCACTAAGGTCCAGTACTTACTGTCCACTAAGGTCCAGTACTTACTGTCCACTAAGGTCCAGTACTTACTGTCCACTAAGGTCCAGTACTTACTGTCCACTAAGGTCCAGTACTTACTGTCTACCAGAACTTGGACCTGCCCTGTGACCACGTCCAGCTGTAGGATGCCCATGTACGAGTCCGCCACAATCAGACGTCCAGCCGCGTCCATCTTGAGACCTTTGGGCCGGCCACACTGGGGCTCTAGCTGGTAGCTGCCTGGGGATGGGTCGTACAGCCGTCAGGGGAGGGGTGCGGCTTTGTACAGACGGGGGGAGGGATGTGGCGTTGTACAGATGGGGGGAGGGGTGGGGGTTGCACAGATGGGGGGGGGGGGGGGTTGTAGAGGGAGTGATGCGGCGTTGTATAGATTTGGTGAGGGGTGCGGCGTTGTACAGATGGGGGGGTGGCGTTGTACAGATGGGGGGAGGGGTATGGCGTTGTACAGATGGGGGAGGGGTGTGGCGTTATACAGATTGGGGGAGGGTGGGGCGTTGTACAGATGGGGTGAGGGGTGTTCTAGAGGGAGGGGTGCGGCGTTAAAGAGGGGATGGGGCGCTACTGTTCTAGAACTCCTGGACGACAGGAAGACACTAGTGAGTTCCTGGGGAAAGTTGAGAGACATACCGCAGTCCGGATGGTCAATCCCAGTTCGGCCAATCAGGGTCAGCTGGTCATCTTTGATTCTCCAGATCTTTCCATCGCCAGTCCCGGTGTAAATTGAACCTGCAAAGATATTTTTAACCTTAGGATTTTCCAAAATAGCTGGAGCTAGATTCAACAAGATATTTTTAACCTCAGGATTTTCCAAAATAGCTGGAGCTATATTCACCAAGTAAATTTGTATCGCACCAAATTGTAAACTAAATAGAGTGGCCTAGTGCTCCTACCTCTGGTATACAATCTTTTTTATACAAGCAATGTGGCCAACAGTTGAGGAAATAAGCAAGGTGCTATATCCTATCAGATGATGTCGAGTAAATAAACATTGTCCTTCGAACCTCTTACGGTTTATAGGAAATGAGTACGCTGCTTATTTCATCCAACATAACAAAACATGACAGGTAAAAGAAAAAAAACCCACTTAAATAACAACCAAACGATGAGAAGTTTGCGAGAGGGAGGCTGGGGTGTGGGGGTTAGTTTAAGTGTGGGGTGGGGGTAGTTACCATCGTGTCCAGCAGCAAAGGACTCTGGGCCGAGAAGCTGACCTTGAAAAAGTTTGCGAATCTTCTGCAGGTGCGTGTTGACCTCAAGTGGACCAACTAAATCCGGCAGGGGGCCCCCTAATCTGGTGATTAAATCAACCAATCTAATCAAAGCTTATTCAGAGTAAAAGCTAGGCAACAGGCACTGGGTCAATAGGTCAAGGACAACAAACTTACTCAACGGCCACTGGGGCAATATGTCAATGTGACTTACTCAACAGGCACTGGGTCAATAGGTCAAGGTGACTTACTCAACAGGCACTGGGTCAATAGGTCAAGGTGACTTACTCAACAGGCACTGGGGCAATAGGTCAATGTGACTTACTCAACAGGCACTGGGGCAATAGGTCAATGTGACTTACTCAACAGGCACTGGGTCAATAGGTCAATGTGACTTACTCAACAGGCACTGGGTCAATAGGTCAAGGTGACTTACTCAACAGGCACTGGGTCAATAGGTCAATGTGACTTACTCAACAGGCACTGGGTCAATAGGTCAAGGTGACTTACTCAACAGGCACTGGGTCAATAGGTCAAGTTGACTTACTCAACAGGCACTGGGTCAATAGGTCAAGGTGACTTACTCAACAGGCACTGGGTCAATAGGTCAAGTTGACTTACTCAACAGGTACTGGGTCAATAGGTCAAGGACAACCAACTTACTCAACAGGCACTGGGTCAATAGGTCAAGGTGACTTACTCAACAGGCACTGGGTCAATAGGTCAAGTTGACTTACTCAACAGGCACTGGGTCAATAGGTCAAGGTGACTTACTCAACAGGTACTGGGTCAATAGGTCAAGGTGACTTACTCAACAGGTACTGGGTCAATAGGTCAAGGACAACCAACTTACTCAACAGGCACTGGGTCAATAGGTCAAGGTGACTTACTCAACAGGCACTGGGTCAATAGTTCAAGTTGACTTACTCAACAGGTACTAGGTCAATAGGTCAAGGTGACTTACTCAACAGGTACTGGGTCAATGGGTCAAGGTGACTTACTCAACAGGTACTGGGTCAATAGGTGAAGGCATGAAGTAGATGACGGCGCTAATGACGGCGATCACAGCGGAAGTTGCCAGGAAACTGTAGCAGGGGAGAGAATCAATTATAAAAATAGTGTCATGTTGATTCGTTAACATCGTAATCAAATAATTTCATATTTATTAGTAAACATCGTAATCAAATAATTTCATATTTATTAGTAAACATCGTAATCAAATAATTTCATATTGATTAGCAAACATCATGATCAAATAATTTCATATTGATTAATTAATATCATGATAAAATAATCTGTAATAAGTTATATAAAAGTATAGTTGATTTGAATACTACTAACATGACACACTTTATTACAAAGCTTTAAATGAGTCCCCTTGGAAACTTAACTCCCCTCTCAACTGTTCCTACTTACAGCAAACTTACCTATGGAGATTCAACATGTCTGCTGTCGGAGGATTGGCGTATCGTTCAGGTTTGAGCTAAAACAAAAAAATAATTAAGGCATTGAATAATTCCATATGTGTCATATTTTACGTCATCCTAGTGACGTCATTGGCCTTGGTAAACAAACACTTGTGGCGTAGTCAGGAATTTTAAAAAGTGTTGAAACCGAACGCAGCCCATGAATAAAATATCAGAAAACTAAGGTGGGACGATGGTCATTTGGTCGATTTTATAAATACAAACACCACACACAGACCACACTGCCTAACAGTGGTCACTTCCATTATATGGTCACCATACACAGGAGTCACCCCACACAGGAGTCACCACACATTATGGTCACCACACAGGAGTCACCACACACAGGAGTCACCGTACACAGGAGTCACCACACACAGGAGTCACCACACACAGGAGTCACCACACACAGGAGTCACCACACACAGGAGTCACCACACATTATGGTCACCACACACAGGAGTCAGCACAAATAGAAATAACCACACACACACTGTGGTGACCAAAGCTAACTGGTGACTCACAGTCGACGAAATATTTGTTGGAGTTTGTGTGCGACCAATCACGTGATGTAGAACCACGTGAAACCAGCCAACCGACAACACGGTTCTCGTTTCTACTTGCGTCATGTGGTCTACACATTGTGACTTAACCCCTCGAGTACTTGGTCACTAAACAGCTCATCGATTGGTCAATACAAACGTATAATCCAGATCAAGAATCCAACAATAACACATGTACATACAATACAAACATGAAATCCAGGTCAAGAATCCAACAACCAGACCCAGGAAACAGCTACAAACATTTGGATTCACTGACTGCTAGAACCAATGGCAACACAGGCCCAACCGTGACCACCAGTTTTTGTGTTGGCTCTCAGGTCACGGCCCAAAGAACTGGTCAGCCCTTGACCTTCAAGCCAACGGACGTCCATTCAAGCTGATTTATTATTCACGGCCACCCCCCCCCAGTCCCCGCCCCACCTTTCCCTTCCAAGCTTGACAAGTTTCATCAAACGTGTAAACACAATTCTGGTCAGTCCGGCCAAGTATTTCATACAAAAACTCTCAAGCGAACAATGTTCAGTGAGGCGAACAATGTTCAGTGTGCCGAACTAACAAATCAACTGTTACACAAACATTTGCTTCAAGTTTTTGACGTGCTACTTAATAAGTCACAGTCTGTTTAATTAATAACACGCTTCAGACTATAATCTTAATTTTAAAATATTTTGTCCACCCCCCCCCCCCCTAAAGAAATGGCTGGATTATGTAGTCCGGCCTTCGTAACCTTGACCCATCACCTGTCGTAGTGGCCGAAAAGATTGGGAACTGGGTCTTTTGTTGTTCTGGAAACCTCTTGATAGGCCAAATTGGCAACTACATAAAATATTGGTGATACAACGCAGACGCCAACAGGCCTATATTTTAGCGTCAATCCATCCAGTAATTGGCTGAGTGTAAAAGATTTAGGCTATTAAAAAAAAAAATGACACCAACAATAAACCATCCTTTGGACAGAGCAGTAAAATTAAAAGCGCTGTGAGCCCAAATATGTCACCGTTAAAGGAATTTCAAAAGAAAACTACAGTTATATCTAGTGAAAAACGTTTTAATTTATTTTTTTCTTTTTGTTTACTAAAAAACTTGTTATTGTGGCGGTTCTACACTTGTTCTATTTTCTCATTTTTAATATTTATATAGTGTAAAGATAGAGGCTGGATCTAGGCTATATCGGTATTAAAAATGTAATGTATTTAAATTATAGCAGACCACTGTATGTATCCACACAACTTGATGTGAAGAAGCTAGCGATATTATTCTCAGCGAGAGTTAAATGTCCGTAGTTGCTGCTCAGATTTGTAATTATCGTGAACGAGCTCATCCTACTTCTATCACGGGGTTATTTGTAAGCAACGTCACGCTATTTGTTTTGTGCCGATTTTACCCCCCCCCCCCTTTCCATTGTCACAAAACTCAGATCCCCTACAATAAAGTCACACCTTAGCAAACATCTTATTTTTTTATAAAAGGGGAAATAACTGAACTAATTTGATTTGGCCGAAAATATAAATTGAGTTGTTACCCTTTGCACGAGTACCGTCAAAATGGTTAATTAAAAATATTTTTCTGAAGTAAATTCCGTCACACTTTCTTAACAACGTATGTGAACTACCCCTGCTTATTTAGCTTCCATTATGCGATTTAATATTGTAATCCTCAAAATTATTTTATAACTTATTAAATAAAGGAAAGCTTTATTGTATTGTATTAACTCATTAGACTAAGGTGAAACATGGATTAGAAATCACTCCTTTACAAGTGTGTAACTTAAAATAAATGTACCTGGACTTAGTGCAGCATTTTGAATTTTTATAAAAACAAAGACAGCTTGGGCATAGAGAAATATATTTATTTTTCTTAAAAATTCAACATCAAAAATAATTTTAGAAAAATTCAATAAATGCAACATTGTAATTGTTAAATACTAAGTTAAAAAGCAAAAGCTTTTAATGAACACTTTAAAGTATCACTACTAGTATATTCATACTTTGATATTGGCACCTTGAAATACATTTGGAAAATATAATTAGGCTGGTTATCACAGATTAGGAAATAAATGAATGACTATACAGCACACTTTAACGACAGGAATAAATATAAATGCTTTCGTGATCAGTTTTTTATTGCAACTAATTGCAATATTTGCATGTTAATAAAGATAACATGCAACTAATTGCAATATTTGCATGTTAATAAAGATAACATGCAACTAATTGCAATATTTGCATGTTAATAAAGATAACATGCAACTAATTGCAATATTTGCTTGTTAAAGATAACATGCAACTAATTGCAATATTTGCATGTTAAAGACAACATGCAACTAATTGCAATATTTGCTTGTTAAAGACAACATACACACCAAAGTTACATTTTATACACAATTTGTGATTCATGGTGTCACAGAATTGTACACGTTAAAAAATTAACCCCTCCCCCTAAATGTTTTGTTGAAAACAATTTCAAATCAATACAAAATTAAATGAAAATAGACCAACCTAAGCTTCTTATTTTATTACTTTACACACATCAGATGCTATGAAGTAAAAATATATTGCAACTAAGTCGATCATATCTAAGGTAAAAAACATAGCTTTTATTTGATTCTCTCCTATGTGGAAACTGCTACATAAAATTCAAGCCTCTTCTTTTCCCATCAGTTTAAATAAAACCAGACCAAATTTTGGTCCAAATTCAAATCTTACAAATGACCAAACAGAACATCATGCTCAAAGTGTGACGGAATGTTTTCACCTATGCTGGGGTTTCTTCCAGTAGAGTTGGCAACTTGGGCATGTCTTGAATTACCTCCCCATGAGAAAACATCATTGGCTTGGTGGGGGTGGCGGGTTTGTTTTTCAACCCTGAACAAACCACGGACTTGTCTGGGTCACATTTGGCGCAACAGTCATACAGGGCTTGAATATATGCTTGACACTTCCATTCTTGGTAGTCACTGGCTGGAGAGGAGTCCAAAAATTTGTAATACATTTGTAGCCTATACTACAACTTTTACAATTGGATGGCTGATAGATTTTGTAAGTCATCATCAAATTTGCTATAGATCTAGTTATAGTCTGTCTTTGTAGACTGTTGTAATAAACTTTTTCTAACTATAGTAAATAGTATAGATATATATTATATAACTAAATAGGTCCACTAATTAAACTATACTTAAGACTGTAATTAATTGCAATCATCTTTTCTTAAAACGATTTCACCAGTTTAAAAGTTATCGGCATACAGTGGGAGGCCTTTTGTTTCCCTAACAACATATTTGAACATGAGTCAGTACTGAGCAGTTTCTTCTCTTCCAGGCATCTCTTCGGGGGGGGGGGGGGGGGGGGGGGGGGCCGGGGGCCAAGTCCCCCGAAAAAATTTTCCCGCCCCCCCCCCCCGAACGAAATGAAATTTATATAATTTTTATAGAAAATATATACTTTTAACAGTGTCCGCCCCCCCAAAGAAAGTCTACCGCCCCCCCCCCCCCCAAAAAAATTTCAAGTGCCCCCCCCCCCCCGAGAAAAAAGTCTGGAAGAAACACTGGTACTGAGTAATTGTTAGGGGGGGAGGGGGAACAAAGAGATGCCTGGAAGAAGCTGGTGATTAGATCAAAAATAGTAGACCTAGTAGAAGTAGATCTAGATCTAGAAGATATAGACCAGATCTAGAATCTATATAATATATATTTTAATAGAGAGATCTAGATCTAGATCTAGATCTTAGTCTAGTAATCTACTAACTAATCTAGATCTAGTCTAAGCCTTTAATAATAAAAAGGTCTAGATCTAGACCTAGTGTAGATCTAAATCTATTCATAATTCTAGATCTAGAATTTAGATCTAGAAATCTAGATCTAGATAATCTAGATCTAGAATCTATTGTAGATTCTAGATCTAGATTTTCAAGATCTAGTGAAATCTAGAATCTAGATCTAGAGACAAGTCAGACAATAGATACTAGATCTAGATCTAGATTCTAGTTACTAGATCTAGATCTAATCTAGATTCTAGTTACTATTACTAGAGGTCTAGAGATAGTGGTGAGGGTCATCAGCCAGTCATCAGGGCTTACCAAGTAAACACGACTGTAGATTACAAGCCTGTTTCTTACAAGGGTCTTTAATTTCCATTTAATCTGAACACCCAATCTGATACAAGTTATGTAGATCTAGAAATCTAGATTCTAGAGACCTTGTCCTTTTAGTCATAGATCTTTAAAATAAGCCGCTAGTCTAACGTCCTCCGTGTTTTGGCAACCAAATTTTGTTTCACGCCTTTCAAATTCAGACTAGATCTAGATCTAGTTAAACTTTTTAATTGGATACCATTTGATTACAAATATGGCCGACTCCGCATAGTATTTGCAGCACCAGGTCTACTTTTGTTAAAGAAATATTTTTGTCCCTTTTCAATTTAGACCTAGATCTAGATCTACGCCTAACTATAATTTTCGTAATAATATAGATCTAATTCCAATTATGAAGTAATAATTTAGAGATTTTCTAGGTGATGTGATCTAAGTATAAAACTAACTAATACTTAATTAATAGTAACTAATCTAGTTTTACTGCGTGGGGACTTTTTTCTCCACTGAAAAGTAAATGTGTGTGGGCAATCGTAAGAGTCATATTGTTACAATATTTTTTTTAAATTAAAAATCTAAGAAATATATTAAAAAACATACAACAAGCATGATCCATCTACTTGTTTAGTTGAAAACTTTTTTCCTCACTTAACTCCGGCTTTGGTTTTCTGGGTACGACAAAAAAAAATCTGGTGCAGTTTGGTCTAGAACAGTTAACTACAGGATTTGGTGTGATTGTTCATCACTCAGCCACAATGCCTCAAATTAAATAGGCTATATTTAACACTTTTTATATAGATATTGGGTATAAGAAATCATAGGTCCTAATCAATCTACTAGCAAATCCAGAGAATTTTAAAAAAACACAACAAAATACTTGCAAATCCCCAAGATTAGAGAAGTCTACTAAACAGAAAAGTTATAGATTTCAACTTAATGTCCAAAAGCTGCCATGGCTAAAAGGACTCACCCAATACTCACTTCCTAATATATTAGTATTAGTAAATTTTTTGTTTTATGTGATTATGCTAAATGTGTTTGATTATGAAGGTTTGTGTATATTTTGTAAAACTACTCTACAGATTGGACATAATTTGCTTCCCCATAACCTAGTAACCTTCCAGCGCCACCATGATAGCAGACTCTGGCACAACCAGCTGTATCCTTTCTGTTGAAGCAGAGAGTTTTGTGGAGCACCTGATGGAGTTTGATGTGAAAGATGTTGGCTCTGCCAGGTAGTATTTGATGTGAAAGATGTTGGCTCTGCCAGGTAGTATTTGATGTGAAAGATGTTGGCTCTGCCAGGTAGTATTTGATGTGAAAGATGTTGGCTCTGCCAGGTAGTATTTGACGTGAAAGATGTTGGCTCTGCCAGGTAGTATTTGATGTGAAAGATGTTGGCTCTGCCAGGTAGTATTTGATGTGAAAGATGTTGGCTCTGCCAGGTAGTATTTGATGTGAAAGATGTTGGCTCAGCCAGGTAGTATTTGATGTGAAAGATGTTGGCTCAGCCAGGTAGTATTTGATGTGAAAGATGTTGGCTCAGCCAGGTAGTATTTGATGTGAAAGATGTTGGCTCAGCCAGGTAGTATTTGATGTGAAAGATGTTGGCTCTGCCAGGTAGTATTTGATGTGAAAGATGTTGGCTCAACCAGGTAGTATTTGATGTGAAAGATGTTGGCTCTGGCAGGTAGTATTTGATGTGAAAGATGTTGGCTCTGCCAGGTAGTATTTGATGTGAAAGATGTTGGCTCTGCCAGGTAGTATTTGATGTGAAAGATGTTGGCTCTGCCAGGTAGTATTTGATGTGAAAGATGTTGGCTCTGCCAGGTAGTATTTGATGTGAAAGATGTTGGCTCTGCCAGGTAGTATTTGATGTGAAAGATGTTGGCTCAGCCAGGTAGTATTTGATGTGAAAGATGTTGGCTCAGCCAGGTAGTATTTGATGTGAAAGATGTTGGCTCTGCCAGGTAGTATTTGATGTGAAAGATGTTGGCTCAGCCAGGTAGTATTTGATGTGAAAGATGTTGGCTCTGCCAGGTAGTATTTGATGTGAAAGATGTTGGTTGGCTCTGCCAGGTAGTATTTGATGTGAAAGATGTTGGCTCTGCCAGGTAGTATTTGATGTGAAAGATGTTGGCTCTGCCAGGTAGTATTTGATGTGAAAGATGTTGGCTCAGCCAGGTAGTATTTGATGTGAAAGATGTTGGCTCTGCCAGGTAGTAACTCATTAAAATTTTGAAACACAAACTTTAATAAATTATCTTTGTTCTGTATTCAGAATTTCCAACTAAATTTTAAAAATTAAAAGGTTCACGTTTTTTTAAAAAATACTTTTATGCTCTCAACTCTTAGTACTTTCTTTCTTTAACATTTATTACCACACTGGAGGGTCATTATAATTTTGAATTAGAAATATTTCAGAAAATTGTTTCTTTTTTTGGATATGTCATTATTTGAGATTAATGGTGTGTGTGTGTGTGGGGGGGGGGGGGGTCTAGCTAAAAAATTCATGGTGTCATTTATGACAAAAATAAATTTAAGTAATATCCTTTGGTAATTTTGGCTTTATGCTATAGCTTTTAATGTTGAGTTTTTCTTGAAATGAAGATGGCACCAACAACACGAACATGTGGAAAAACTGAACATGCAAGCTGTGATCAATGCCGCAGCTAAGGAGGACGAATTTGTCAAAGAATATTTTATATCATATGGCAAGGTATTTCTAGTTCTCAATTCTTTTTTCCTGTTTTATTTATTGGATTTTCCAGCTTGAAGATGTTTTCTTTCATTTGGTCACTAATCCCTTTTGTTTGAAACTTACATACAAAAACATTAAACCTCAGATATTGTACTTTGTACCCAATCATTGAGCGGTTACTTTTTTTAACAAAGAGTTACTATACAATAAACCACTGCCTAAGATTTGTGTCATAGCATGTTTAAAATGAAAATGCCATATTCTAAACCTCAAATATTATTAATGCATTATTTCTCTTTACCTCATAGATTAACTTATTGATACAAGACTTAATAACAACAGAAATTTGGAAACAGAAAGTTTTTCCTGAATTAATTGACATGGAGTTTGAACCAAAAACTACTTTTCCAATATATATTATAGTAAGTAAAATATGTGCTTCCTTTTTCAAGAAATATCTGTCTATAAATTAAAAAAAAAAGAAACCTGTATTGAGTCTGTTTTTAAAATCTTTGAACAAGTTGATGTGTGACAAGCAAAAACTCAACTAAAAATAAAAAATTTTAATTGGTAGTAAATTGTTGTCTGCTTGTTTGGCTGCAAGTCCACTTTCCCAGATTTTTTATTATGTCAGAACATAACACAGTGTGTATTTTCAGACAAAATGTTCTCATGTTGCCTAAAACTTGGTTGTTCCCACCCAGCTCTACCACGAGGCCACTGTGATCAACTTGCTAGAGACGATGATGTTCTACAAGGAAACTTGTGAAGTTGCTGATGACTCTGTACTTGATCTGGTCGACTATGCTTATCGTAAACTTTGTTATCTGGCTGCTAAGTTAGTCCTCTTTTTATAACTCCTTCACTTTGAACAATTAGAACTTAAGTTAATTTTATTTTCCTACCAATTAAATTTCACAATTTTTCAAATCAGGGGAGAAAACAAAGATGATGAGTTCTTGCCCAATGGCAGAGATCCTGGAGTAGCAACAAGTAACATGGAGGTACTCAACATTGTTTTACATTCAGAGCTTTGTAGTGGGAAGATTTCATTCATTATATTATAGAGAGATTAATGATGCAAGACTTTATTTTATTATAGAAAGATTATTGATGCAAGACTTTATTCTATTATAGAAAGATTAATGATGCAAGACTTTATTTTAAAGAAAACATTTTCAGTGGACCACATGAAATTTCAGAAAAGTTTCACAGAGACAAATTTTTCCCCAGGAGTTGGTGCAACAGGAACTTCAGCTGCAGTTTGAAATCAGCATCAAAGCCTTGTCAGTCATACGATACATCACAGACTGTTTAGACATGTAAGACCTACCACAAGCAGGGGTAGAATGTTTTAAAAGTCAGAATCCAGTAGAGAAACTTTTGTCATAAATCAGTTTTTGTAAGATAAATTCTGGAGTCATTTTATTTTGCCTTGTTAGAGTTGTTATTTCTGTTTTTTATGCAGTCTTCCGCTAAGTGTCATGACCAGAATTTTAAACACACACGACCTCCCCATTTTGTTGGTGCAACTAGTGGAGTCGCCGCCCTGGACTAGGAGAAAAGATGGTCAGTGAAAAAACTTTCATTTGCTGTAGGTTTTTAATTTTTAAAGCAGACATGCTTGATCAAAACAAATGACAAATATATATTTCCATTTTTTTATTTTTAACTCTACACTTACGTTTCTCAATTTTAGTTAACTATAGTTAACCTTGTATATGTCAGATCTAATTGTATTATTATTTAGGAAAACTGTACAAGTTTATTGATAGCAAGTGGGTAGAAGTTAGCTTCGAGGATAGTCTGAAACTCACCAAAACTGAAGGACAGGTAACCATTTTTTGAAATCTTAATTGGAAAATGACAAAAAACGTTTTCAATAAAGTATCAACTAATGATCTGTTATATTAATATGCAATTTTATTAAAGATATTTGTTTTATGAAATAATTTTAAAAAATAAAACATAGGCATTCATTTTCTTTTAATTTTAGGTTTGGATCGCAATTTTTAATTTACTAATGAAAAGGTCATGTCAAGAAAAATATGAACTAAACAATTATCGTAAGAATACAATTATCAAGGTAACTTGAGTAGAAATCAACTTTTACTTTTATGTTTATTAAAATCAATACATTTTTCAGCTTAATGATTTTTTTACAATGGGATCTAGATCTAGCTCTTTACTTTGGCTTCAACAAATAGGAAACTAGCATTAATCTCTAAATCACCTGGAGTTAATCTAACTTCAAGGAAAACTACGAAATAATGCTCATATTTTATAGTTGCTGTAGTATTTATACTGAATTTTTAAAATGCTAATCCTTTATTTAATATTTTTAATGCATTTATCTCATGTAACTATGTGTATAATGCATTTATCTCATGTAACTATGTGTATAATGCATTTATCTTATGTAACTATGTGTATAATGCATTTATCTTATGTAATTATGTGTATAATGCATTTATCACATGTAATTATGTGTACAATCTTGTGTTGCTGATGATGCTTGATGCTGGTTTGTACCTGCAGCTTAGGTCCCATTTAACAGAAGTGCTATTAGACCAGATGCCCATCCTGGCAGAGCTGCAGAGGTATCTTGAGCACCTGGCCATTATGGATCCACCACCTGCCAAAAAAGATTTGGTCCTTGAACAGGTCAGAATTTTAAAAAAAAGTGACTAAAATTATAAAAATTAATATTTACTCTTGCAACTTAACATATTGTCTTATATCTGCAAGCAAAATGTAAATAAGATTATTTTTTTTTCAGTTTTTAATGTTAATATACAAATATCTATACCTTAAAATAATAACTTGTGATAATATATACAAATATCTATAACTTAAAATAATATTTTGACAATATATACAAATATCTATAACTTAAAATAATAACTTGTGATAATATATACAAATATCTATAACTTAAAATAAAAACTTGTGATAATATATACAAATATCTATAACTTAAAAACTTGTGATAATATATACAAATATGTATAAGTTAAAAACTTGTGATAATATATACAAATATCTATAACTTAAAAACTTGTGATAATATATACAAATATCTATAACTTAATAACATGTGATAATTGAAAGCTTGTTGGTGTCAGGTACCAGAAATGAGAGACAAACTACTGAAGAAATATGAGGACAAGTGGCACAAGATTGCTTCAGCTCAGGTGAAAACAACATTCAACCAATCGGATGACGACATCAGGTCACAGGCTCAAAGGTGGGAATTGGAACACACACACACACACAGATAAAAACATTAGGTCAAAGGTGTGAATTGGAACACACACACACAGATAAAAACATTAGGTCACAGGCTTAAAGGTGTGAACAAGAGGGGAGGGGAGAAGGTTGTTGGTTTTTTCCATCACCTAATGTCAATGTCTTGTAGCTAGGGTGTTAGAAAAATTAATTATTACTGTATTTTGTTAACAGAAATATTTTTAAAATATATTTTTTTGCTATGTTTTCTTTTTGATGAAATTAAATAATTGGTAAAAAAAATAATTGTAAAATAGTTTCTTGTAAGTAATATTTGACAAATTATTGTCTAACAATAAGTTGATATTTAGTTTTTGGTACATATTACTAGCCCATTGTACCAGCATTACTCAGTAACCTTGCTGAAAACTTGACCACATGTCCTGGTTGGCAGTGCTTTAAAAATTTTTTTACCAGATTTATTTGGTCCACAGATGGGCAGCCACTTACAATTTGGATGTTTTAGAAGAACTGGTTGCAGACCCTCCTAAATGTGCAGTGTGTGGCCAACTGGCCAGCAAACGTTGTTCCCGTTGCCAGAATGAGTGGTATTGTCGCAGGTCAGTTTCCTTATTTTATTAATCTTTTATCATGGCATTAGCTAAGTCCCTTCTGTTGTAATGTTAATTTTACTGTCCTGTAACTTGAAGTAAATTAATCAGCCTGTTGTTCTGTACAAATATTTCACATGTAACTCAAGTTGTGAAATGATAAATTGACAGTCACCTACTCCCACCTATTCAATGATTTGTTGAAATAAATGTATGTATTGATTAACTTAGTAGCAACATACAGATGTTATAATGTAAACAGGACTTGTGTAGTATTAGTAAGAGGAATTTCAATGTATGTATTTTATAATAATTACATTTTAATCAGTATGGCTGGTATAATAATATTTCCAATCACTACATTATTGTGAAATAAAAAGACAAACCTGAGCAACTTTATAAAATATCCAAAATTGTACAATGTAATTCATTTAAAATCATTTTCCAATGATGGATGTTTAGATCATTGAGCAAAGTTAACGGAGGACATTTTTGTGTGAAACTTTTTTTTTTCTAGAGAATGTCAAGTTGCACATTGGAAGAAACATAAACAAGCATGTGACATAATCCATGAAACCTTACAGACAGCTAGATAACGACTAACAGTGTGTTACAAGATTATTTATGTTCAACAATTTAGATGTGTTCTTTTAACTGCCAATTTCATTTTGTGGTTCAATAAAGTTTATATTTTAGAGTCATGTGTGTAAGTAATGAAATTTAGTTGATTCCACATGTAGACTCAACTAAAAAAATTCCATTCAGATTCTTGCAATCTTTAACATTTTGAAAATGAATGTTGAATGCAGTAATTAAGTTTGTCAGTTAAATGAATAAATCTGTTTCTAAAGGAAATCTTTTAAGTTGAGTTATAAATATTCCGTCCATTGTTCTATTGAATGCTTAAATAGTTATCTTTGATATTCAAACTATCTAATATGATGGTGAAAATGAATGTATAATAAAACAATTTAAAAAAAAACACATCTTCTGACTTTTGAGTTAAATAATACATTAAAATGTTACTTTTGCAGTAAAATATATTTTTGAATAGCCTCTACAAGAACTTTCGTGCAAAATTATTTAAATGGAGTGGCCATTGTATGTCTCATCTTTTTTTCACTTAATTGACTAAGGTGGCAGCCAGAATACATGAACACATTCACCACCAGGAAATACTCTTAAAAATACTTAACCTAATAGCTTATGACAAGTGACTACCTGAATTAAATTTGCAGCATTAAATGGTATTTAAGAAAGATAACCAAAAAAGCATTGAATAGGAAATGGTTACCCTAATTCGAATCGATCACACTAATTTCATTCGGCATCCATAAAAGTGAAAAGCTGCAAAGGAATTTGTGGAGAAAACAAGAGGTGAGGAATGTTCACAACAAACATGACACTGCATAGAAATTCATACAAAATCAGATTCAACTGCAGTGCTCATGGTAAATCAAAAACAACACCTCAATAAGTAATAAGAGGACCATATCTATACTAATTTTTAAAAAATAAGTACTTCTGTGATAGATGAATGTAATCTAGCTATATAACTAATTATAATGCTGCATGTGACTAACAAATTAGTCATATATATATATATATATATATATATATATATATATACATACATACATACATACATACGAGCCGACCTGCAGAGTAGCATACACCGCTATTTAGTTGTTTAATTTTCTACCTTTCAGTAATTCATAATTTGTGAATTCGACACTACTGCGACTGAAAATATTTGCTTTAAAACACTCAGTAGCTCGTGAAGGACGATACCCCCCCCCCCCCCCCCACCTTCCCTTCAGCCCCCCCCCCCCCCCCCCCCCCCCGCCCCCTATGAAAGCAGCCTCCTCTTAGTTACCTCCCCTAAGTTTCAAATCGTATAAAAACTAAATTATCTGCCCTTAATAGGCAGTGGTGGTCATGTCCCACATGGTCGTGACCCACACACACACACACATATATATATATATATATATATATATATATATATATATATATATATATATATATATATAAATATATATATATATATAAATATATATATATATAAATATATACATAATTCATATACAATATTATACAACATAGTATTGTTTAGATTTGTAACATGTTTCTTTGTCTAAAACTGTTGCACATTCCTTTTTTCCATCCAGCTGGATGATAATATCTTAGTTTCTGGAGATGTAGGCCTTTAATTAAATGGAAACTTTGTTTAAATATGTTTAGTTTGTTTTGTTATCCAAGCTTATGCTTACAGTCTAAAAATATTTTTTAGTGATACATCTCTATTTCTTGATCCACATTTACTTGTGAGTAATGATTATGGGGAGTAATCATAATTAATAAAAAACACAAATATGTAAGGTGAGCAAAAATTAATTAAACCAAAGATACGAAATAATTTTAGGTTTTTCTGAAACTCTTTTGTTTGAAGTGCAGCAAAATTTGGATTTTATCTAAGCCAACTGTAGGCCTAGGCTTCTGAATTTGACTGGGCTGTAGGCCAACGCGGTTCGTCCGAAAAATTTAAGCTTCAACTATGAAAAGGTAAACTATATCTGCATCCACTGGGAATGCTCCTGAAAGATTCATTTAGATGCCTACTTACTACACTACTAAACTAAGACTACTTCTAGAATCTAGAATCTAATCTAGATCTAGATTTTAGTTCTAATCTTAGTAGTTAGTAGTCTAGTAAAAGAATTTTTGGTAATCTATCGTTTTAGGTACGTAAAATCGCCCGCGACTAGTAATGTGAAAAACAGGTGACTCCTTAAATTTTAATAATTATTCACATTTTGAGGAGGATTTATGTTTTAAAAAAATACTAAAATGTTTCCTTGTTTCATTTATGTAGATCTACCTGTTTTTAAACAATTGAATTAAAACTTTTCAGTAATAAATGAACACCAGCGATGTTACCAACAGATGCAACCATGCTCATTTACTATAACGCCATCTTGTTAAAGTTTTATTTTTATAGACTTATAACGCGAGATTCAGGCGGAAGTCACTCTATTCTACAAATGGCTGCTGTTTATATAGCAAATCTTGCTTGCAGACACTGCTGTTTAAAGTTAATTTCTGGCCTATATTCCTATATATTGATATATTTAGGCCTAACCATTGATTTAGGTTTATTATTCATTTATCTATAATATTTGACACAAACATATCACATTATACTTCTATTACAGCCTGGATAATGAGGTAACGTTTTCGTACATTAATAGCCACGGGCGATTTTACATACCCAAAACGATATCTAGATTACCGAATCTAGTACTCTTAAGTTCTTAACTCTACTAGATCTAGAATCTAAATCTAGTATCTAGATCTAGATTTTCTAGATCTAGATCTACCTATGGACGCGAGCGAGTTCACGGGAATCCTTCCATCATGTTGTTGACATGGAATAAAATATGCTTTTTTAGATTTAGCAAACAATGCTACCGTAAAAATAAAAACTTAAGCCTAAAATAATACTGAAATTCATTCAGAAATTTTAAATTTTTAGAACGAAGTGACTACTCGGAATCCAATCTTCCAATCTTTAGTGAAGTCCGAAAAAACCAGACAGAATTTTATAACCATATTAATTGTAACTACGCCGTGCATGATTTAAAAATTAATTAATGGGCCTCTCGAATACCTTCTCGCTCGCGTCCATTGGACCATTAGTTACTTTGTAATAGAATAGGCCTGAAATTACTATTAGATCTGGTCTATAAATGATAATCTTAGGCCTGTAAGATCTAGTGTAGAGATCTAATTGAAGCGGCAGAGTTGAGAAGAATCCTTCCATCTCATATGGTTGTCAAAAAAATGTGCCTTTTTTTAGTATTTGCAATCAAAGCGGCCGTAAAAATAAAAAAAAAATAAAACTTGGATCTAAGCCTAAAAATAAACACTATTCAGAAATTTAGGCCTAATATTTCTAGAATCAGTTATAAAAGTTGCAAGTCCAGAGAACTTGAAAATAATTGAGTTTAATTAAGGCAAGGCGGCTACATTTCTATTTAATTTCACTTTCATAAGACAAACATGAAACATTGATTGGCTGAACACACACTGTACACATGTTACTGTACAGGAACTCTGTGCTTGATTTCTGACACTTCCATATCAGTTTTTTGTTTACAAAACTTTTCAAATTAAAGTTTTTAAATAACAATGCAAATTTAAACCACATGATCTAGAAATAATCTAGATCTAGTTCTGCCATTTTTGTTTTGTTTATGACAATAAAGTGTATGCTATCCTATTGAATAGCAGGATGCCATTGTTTATGTTGCCATTACACGTGAAAACAAAATTGTTTTTGCTTTTTTTAAATTTTTTATTTAGTTACCGAAAATGTTAAAAACATCAAATAGTCTTACACTTACATCCAATCTTTAGTAAAGTCCAAAAAAAAACCAAACAGACAGGATTTTATAACCATATTAATTTTAACTAAGTCATGCATGATTTAAAAAATATTTAATGGATCTCTCAAATATCTTTGAGACTTTTATCGCTTGGGTCCATTATAATTCTAATGGAGGCCACAGAGTTGATGAAAATCCTTCTAGATCTAGATTAATCCATCATAATTCATATAGTTGACATGGATAAAAATCCGTTTCTTTAAATTAATCTTTTGACTGCATGGTGGCTGTTAAAGTAAAAGAAAAAGATGATTTTAGATACCGGTCTCCGAAAATAGAGTTTTTCCAAAAATATGTGTGTTAGGTTTTTAGATCTAGAATCTAGAAGTATTGTAATCTTGACAAGTTTATGGTTAGAAATTAGGGTTAGGCGTATGATGGTAGGACCAGGGTTAGGGTTATGGATAGGGTTAGCATGCGATTTGTGTATCTTAGTTAACTACCAGTAACCTAGCAACCCTTTTTAAAGATTCTATTATCAGACACTCAAACTGGTATAAAAATTCACCCACATTTCTATTTTCATCAAGCCTAAGTTATAACTGGATGTTTCACTTTCGTAAGACATACATTAGTTGGCTGTACAGGAACTCCGTGATTGATGGTTATTTGTTAACAAAACTTTGCAGATGAAGTTTTTAAATTTTATAACTTAGTAGGATCCATTATAATTTGAATAGCCCTCATTCTAAAAATATGTTTGAAAACGTGTGCAGGTTTAATTTAAAATGTATTAGGCCTAATTATTTTTAGTTGTGTTAATAACAATTAATAAGAAACCTTTTTCATTAGGTACTAGATGGATGGAACCACTTATTTTATGTTCATTGGACAATATTTGTTGAAAGTGCCTGTTTTTATTAGTATAGTTTATAGCCTGTAGTTAATTAAGGTCTCAATGTTTCTGGCATGATAAAGTTGTGAGCCACACTGTTGAAGGGTGTTGTAATTTTTGGGTGCTTTAGTTTAAAAAAATAATTGGCTACATACTCTCAATTAACTCTTACATTCTGATTGCAAACAAATAAAAACCACTGACAGTTGATCATGATATGCAATTATTTTTGTTTTTAATGTATGGATGGGTGTAGGTCTACTTCTGTTATTTTATTTAAAAGGCTTGAGTTAAATTTGTATGTTTACTAAATGCAGTGCTGCACTCAGTTTACTTCTGAGAGGAAGGCAATTTAAAAAAAAATGACATGTGTACCTGGACACTAAAGGACTGCTATTCTCATCATTACTGAGCTGCTTGTAACAGATGTTTCTTCTTTGTCTGTTTAGCTGGCTGTATTTTAAAGGGAGAAAACTGAGTTTCCTCTCATTATGTATTACTTCCCTTGAGTGGAATACCTGAGTTCACAGCCTGTTGTTGCTCACCTGGGTTATTTATAAAAAATACCAGTTGTGTTTTTCAGCTGCAAGTTGTCTTCCATTAATATTATTCTGGCTATTTTTGTCACATTTAGCATCCATTTATCAACTATATTCCAGTTCTGTGTTGAGAAAAATGTTTACAGAAAACCTCTTCCAGTATTTTCAATTCTCTGCCATCATAAAACACTGTTTAAATTTATTTGGCCCCCATTTTCAGCTTATATTCATGACTTGAGTCACCATAATTTAAAGAAATGAGGAGTTGACTGATATATAAATAAGAAAAAGTGTGAGTCTGCTGGAGGTCCGAGCAGCAACTGGCATTCTTGTGTTGACAACACAAATCCTTGTGATATTCTGTCAGTGTTACCTGTTAGTTTCATGTGGAAAAATCTAAATGAAAAAATAGTTGATGCTCACATCACCTGTCTCAGTCTCATATCGCTGGTCAATTGCTAATCATCTTGACCTCCTCTTTTGATAATCAATCACTAACCTTGACCTCCTATTTTGATGGCCAATTTCTAATCACCTTGAACTATTTATAGATTTTAAATATTTTTTCAGCTGTGCTATTTTTAGCTCCAGCCTCTGATAACAGTTAGGCCTAGTTTACATATGAAGTTTGTGGTTGGTTCTACACAAACTAGTTATATTAACCCTATAATGCCTGTTGTGTTGGTTCTACTCAAAGTGCTGACATTCTGTGTCAGGTGGTCCATATGGCTGGCATCAGGAAGTCCATAGTGCTGACATTCTGTGTCAGGTGGTCCATAGTGCTGACATCAGGAAGTCCATAGTGCTGTCTATTAATCATTTCATGACTGGCAGTATTTGACTATCACAGAAGTTTAAGCATTTAGTCAGCCACAAAGAGGACCGCTATAAGACTTACAAAATTCAAACAATAGATAAATCTGATATTAACTATTAACATGAACACAACTAACGTTAACATTAATTAACATAAACTAACATTATATTAACTAACATTAACCAACAAACTTGAACATGAATTGACAAACCTTAACATAAACTAACATTAGCATAAACTAACATTAACATGAACTAAAATCAATATAAATGAACTTGGGCTGACATTAAAATGAACGAACTTACTACACATAAACTGACAATACATGAACTGACAATGCATGAAATGACAATACATGAACTAACAATACATGAACATATGAGCACACATCACTCTCTCCTCACTAATGAACTAAAATGTTTTTAGGTTGCAAAATTGGAAACAGTTCAAAAGTTGCTATGGGGTGTCCATGGAGAGTTTAGTGAAACTTTGACAGGTAGTGGTAGTTATCATTTGTTTATCTTTTCATTTAACTGGTTTGTTGTCAAAATTATTTTTAAAATACTTGGCCCATGTTCCATCTTCACCTAGTGAATGCAGAAAGCAGACAACTAGATGGCAAATCTGTGCTAACTGATGCCTGGCAACTGTGTCACTTTGATCTTAATACAATAACACCAGAGGAAGCTATGCAAGTAAGTTGAATGTTCACTGGTAATTTTCTTTAGATAAAAAACGCTTCAATAACTCATCTTGCTATAGACTGCATAATTTGGTCTAAGATAGTAATAGTAAACTATGATAATGTTGTAATGGTATTTGTGCGCATGATGCCATACTGCCATGATGAAGTCTAGACTTGGAGCCAGATCACAGGGTAACAGCTCCGGCTGTGTGACTCTGGCTATGATCTTGTTCAATAGTTTTCAATCTGAGCAGTTGGTCTTGTAGCAAAGGATGAACTTGTGGTCACATGGTGATCTATTGGTCACTTGCGATGATGGCTTGATGGTCCAGACTTCTGTTTGTCCTTGTCCTCTTGTTTTGTTTGTTATGAAGCTGGATCTCGCTGTCAATGACCAGACCAACGCTGATGCTACAGAATTGCTGGTAGGAAAGTGTTGTAGTGCACATGATGACAAGTTACAACTGGACAACAGCAGGCTTAGACTCCACAGAATTGCTTGTAGGAAAGTTTTGTAGTGCACATGATGACAAGTTACAACTAGACAACAGCAGGCTTAGATTGCACAGAATTGCTTGTAGGAAAGTGTTGTAGTGCACATGATGACAAGTTACAACTGGACAACAGCAGGCTTAGATTCCACAGTGTAGAACATTCGGCCTCTCTGGGCCTTGAGTGTCACTCTCTGGTTTCTTCGTCGCTGTCATGGCCTATATTTTGAACGGATATCTGATGCACTAATTATTTTTAGTAACATTATTTAGTTTGTCATGTTTTAAAACTGCAAGCATAGTTGACTGATTTGACTCTATGATAAATATATTTATAGCTATAAATTTTTATTATTGTTTCAGTTAAAAAAATTGTCCTTTATAATTTGACCCATGCAAATGATATAATTTGACCCATGCAAATGATGATATAATTTGACCCATGCAAATGATGATATAATTTGACCCATGCAAATGATGATTAAAGGCGAATGGAAACTGGCTTGATAAGATGTTACAACTCTGTGTACATCTGGTCGCCGTGATGTCCTCAAACATTGATCTGATGCCCAGATTCTCTATTCATCTGACGCATCAGCCAGATCCTAACGTCCAGCATATCCTCCCACACTTGTTTCTTCTCCAGGCTGAGTTCAGTTTCTGGTGCTATGGAGAAAACACAATGCATGCTCACATGGTTTACTGTAGCATTTCCTGGCACTGTTTCCCTTGACACCTCACTGTATGCCTTGTAAGTAAACAGATTGTATCTTGTTGTACTGGAATTCTCATGCTCATTTTGTTATGAAGGTATTTTTACAGTTATTTTTGATGATGTAACTGATTCTCTACTTATGCCGCTAAATGCATCCTAGGTAGACCACCCCCTGTCCACATGCATCCACTTTTGTGCAAACATAATTCTCTTTACTCGTTGGATGTATTTTAATCATTAATATTAGTATTTAAAATATTAATAATCCGCAAGGCCTCCTTGAATTCATGGCCTCTATTTCTATTATTTTATCGCTCTCTTTCCAAAGAGGTGCTATTTAATTATTTTTATTAGAGGTCATCTATAAATGACGTCACACTCTGTAGTGGGTGGGAGGAGGGTTTTAAAAAACTGACAAGACACTTTTACAATGTTTGAACCTGAATACAAGCTGCTCCTTTACGTAGGTGTGACTGTGAGAGTGGGGAAAAGCAGCACCACCAAATGTGAGGGTGGGGGGTGAATGAAGATGAAGAGAAGATCCCATGTGACCGGTCAGCTCCTGTATATCCAAAAGTCTGTTTAACTAAGGTATAGTCTTTTTCTACCATCACAGTAGTATTTTTAAATTTCAATAAAAATAAATCTCCTTGACCATGCTTAGTTTTTTTATTTTACTGTTTTGAGAGGTGTTAGGGTGAGGTGTGACATTATTTTAGGTGTTGGATCCTGGTTTTTAGTGATGTTGGGGTGGTAAAAATCGTATTGCTCTACTGATATGGATGACCCAGTGTAGTATAAATCAGTGCTATATTTACACATAGCAATGAGTTTTTTTAACACAACACTGTTGTCTTAATTTCAGTTTTTTTATGCAGTTACAAGTTTTATTTTTGTTATACATTGTTAGCACATCCATGTTAAATGTGGACATCCGCATGGACCCTAACCACCATCCTCCGCCTAGATGTCATTTTTTTTTTTTATTTCCCTGGTCCCTTATCCTTTTAAAATTCAGGGTAGTGTTGCTTTGTTTGGGAATATTTTCAAACAGGAAGAGGTATTCTCATGAGTTTTTTAGAATTCATGCATACAGATTTCACTTTTGTAACACCATGTAGCAGATGTTGAAGGGATAACAATTTCTTTCTTTCAGGCCAACACATTGGGGACAGACATTAAGGCTGTTTCGGGCATTTACATTATGCATCAGTGGAAAACAAAAGATTTTGGATTATTCATATTGAATACCAACCATGGAAAGAAGCACACACAACAGTGGCAGTGTTCAAATTAAAACCTTGTTCCATTTGATTTTATTTGTAAATGCCTTATTTTGAAATAAAGTACAGTTATTCATTGAACACGAGCTCTGTGCAACATTAATTGGAGAATTTTATTTTTTTGATACATGGAAGGTAGAATAAAAAACAAAGAATTATAAGAAGTCTTATTACACTTAAAAAATTAGAAAAAAAAAAACAGCTATAAATGGTTTTTACTGGCCTATTTTCACTCATTTTAAGGATACATATTTTTCATATAGTAAAGCTCTGTATATGAAGTATGTAGGTTTCTGCACAACTATTCATCTAGATTATGCTTTTTCACATTTGGAGTGAAAATGTTTAAAAAGTTTTTAAACCCATTTAGAAAATCCATAAATGGCAACAAACAATTATTGGGGAGTTAACAATAATATAGTTAATTGGTTTATTATAAATATATGGTACAAAAAGTTATAAAGCTAAGCAGTGAAAATTTCTTAATTACATGTATTCATTACACATAACCATTGGTTGGGTAGATTTCAACATGTGACAACATAGCCGAAGGCTTATGTTAAAATATATATGTATACATGGATTATGTACAAAATGAAAAGAAAAAAGCATGCTTTATAACAGGTGTAAGTTGTGAGCTGATGGTTGAAGGAAGTAATTGGTCTCCATAAAAGGAGAAATATTGACCTACAATTTGAATAATCCTACAAGGATTGTGTTAAGCATGCTTAGTGGGATTGGACCATATGTACTACCTAACAAAATATCTAAGCATTTGTTCACTAGCATCCCCATCATTCATTCTTCTCAACCATAACTAACTTGTACAAACTTACTAAATAATTACACTTTAATGCTGAGCAAATATAATTCATTTACATGTATCAGAATTCAATGCCACAGGACTGAAAACCTTGCAACTAATTCACAAATCTATTCAACTGCTCAAGGCTACCTGCTGTAGAAAATAACTTGGTGAACACAGAATTCTGTTTGACCCTTGTGATCTCTAGTCTTACAACTTATGATTGTAGGTCAAGGGTCAAATGCCATTTATACCAAAAGAAGTTAGCCTTTAAATTACCAATAATTAACACAACTATACCAATAGAAGTTAGCCTTTAAATACATACTAATTAATAATTAACACAACTGAGTATTGCTTATCCTAGTAAGGCTGGCGGTGCACAAAAAAGCACTGCCAAATTAATCACTACCTTTAGGCTTAATTAAAAAAAACTAATTTAAAAACCTTTTTCAGGAAACCGATTAAAAAATAAGCATGAAGATTCTTCTAAATGATTAGCGCCTGATGATAGAATGAAACAGATCTAAGCAGCTATTGAGGAAGAGGCTACTGTGAGTAAATGTTAGCATGTCACATAGGTGTTGGATCTTTCTTTTATTGTTTTTATGTAAGCATCCATCTGGCTGTTCAATTTGTTGATCTCTTCTTGCACCTTGGACAGCCTTGCTTCATTCATAGCTATCTTGTCATTTGCAGCTAAACAATAAAATAACCCATATTAATTATATGATTGGAATATTCTAACTAATTAGTATAATCAGTGAGCCTAAGATTGATTGTAGAGACACGGATAGGGTCCTTACCTTTTAGCTGGGTTGTCTTAGTTGCTGTAATCCTGTAGATTTTATCAGCCCGCATCTTCAAGGTATCACTCAGTTGTTTGGCATCACCAGTGAGGTTGTATTTGCCATTTAGCTGGTTAGCTATGGCATCATATGATTTATTGAACTCTGAAGCTTTCTGAAAGAAGTCAACATAAAATTAAAAGTTAGATCCAACTGAAACTTGCATTTTCCAAGATTCTATGTCAAATGTTTCTTACATCGAACGCCTTCTCCGCTGATCTGGCAGCGTCACTAGCAGCTTTCTCTGCCTTCTCCAGAGTGTCCACCTTAAGATTGGTGTACTTCCTGGTCAGCTGCTCCAGACTATCTTTCAACATTTCCAACAGTTTCTCACTGGCAGTTGATAGAGAACTTACATTGCCTGCCTCTTGGCCAATCTGACAGATTCAATACAGAAAGTTTTGCAATTCTTTTTGATGTTTTGTTGGAATGAAAATATATTTTTGACATAACATAACGACAAGTGATCAGGCAAGAATAAATACCAATGTTAAATCCATTTCAGCACTTTTGATGTCCTCTTTAGCTTTTTGTATAGCCATTTCAGCTCTGAGCTGGACCTGCTTGGCTTCATCAAGTGCATTCTTTACCTCTTCAGCATTCTTACGGATGGCCTTGGCCTCAGTTCTAGAGGAATTGTAGTTAATTACAGTTGTAATGTGTATAGGTATGTGTATCAAAGGGGACTTTACGTAGTTATAATGTGTATAGGTATGTGTATCAAAGGGGCCTTTACGTAGTTATAATGTGTATAGGTATGTGTTTCTAAGGGTATTAGTTATAATGTGTATAGGTATGTGTATCAGAGGGAACTTTACGTAGTTATAATGTGTATAGGTATGTGTATCAAAGGGGACTTCACGTAGTTATAATGTGTATAGGTATGTGTATCAGAGGGAACTTTACATAGTTATAATGTGCATAGGTATGTGTATCAAAGGGGACTTCATGTAGTTATACAGTGTATAGCTATGTGTACAGGATGAAAGAACTTACGAAGCTTTATCAGCCTGTTGTTTGAGGTTTTCAGCTATGCTCCTATTCTCTGCTGTGTCAGCCAGGATTTTGTCAATGTTTTGTAAAGAGTCTACAACCACATTGATCTTTTCTGCCAGCTGTTTGATTTCATCTGGCGTCCAAGGGATTCTCAGAGACAACACTTCATTAGCAATCTGCCAAACACAATCATTAAGATCATTTTAACTTTTTGACTTGAGGTTGAATAAGTTTTACTAAGGTTTTTTAACAAAGTAATAAAATGGTCAAATGTCTAACAAGAATACCTTTTCCACATTTTCTGGTGTAGATGTGTTGGCACCAATCAAAAAGTCTCTGATCTTTTTATTTAAATCTTCCAAGTCAGATTTGGTTTTCTGTGTCAGACTATTGGCATTCTGAGCCTCTTCCAGTGCTTCTTGTGCAGCTTGTTTGGCTTCATTAGCATCCTGTCTGGCCATCTCTGCCTGGTGGAGAGAGAAAGATTTATCAGCTAGGTTGAGATGAGTAGGACACAATGAAACTGCTGGAGTTGGTCAGGGTTTACATACTGCAGGTATGAGGTGCTGCGTGGCATTCTTGATCTTGTTATTGAGCAAGTCTTCAGTTGTCTGAACCAGCTTTAGGGCAGAGTTGGCTGAAGTAACAGCCCCAAAGCAACTCTCACCACCACACTTTCCACAGCCCCCACCACCACACAGGGCAGAGCATGGATTGCCAGGTACACCACAAACCTGGAGACAACATTTATAAGAAAATAATGAAAACTGATATAGAAACTATTTAAATTAAAGAGACAATCCACAAATTTCTTTCAAGCTTTAGACTTGGGACCGGCTTACCAGCATACTCAAACGTCTTTTACACAGATTGGTTATGAATTATCATCCACCAGAGCATATTTTATATATATATATATATATATATATATATATATATATATATATATATATATATATATATATATATATATATATATATATATAGTATTGTTCAATATCTCACCATATTATTTATATCAGACAAATCCTCTCCAATTTTCTCAACATCTTTATGCAAACTGTCCAATGCTTGGGCATTTTCTTTTAACTGGTCATTAAAGCTCTCTTTTCTAAACAGGTCAAGATTTTAAACAAGCATTACAAACCACAAGATTTTAAACAAGCATTACAAACCACATACAGGTAAAAATAAACATTACTTGACTGAAAACTTTTAAAAAAATAATGTTTTAGTCATATATTCACTGATTTAAGTCAATGAAATAAAGACAGAACACCACTCTTTAAAGATTAAAATCCCATAGTTGATTATTCATGAATGAGTAAACTTGTGAGTTTACCTGTCGTCCAAGAGTTTCTCTGTGGCTGCCCTGAGTTGTTGAGACTGGCTGATGTATTTGGCTGTATCATCCACCCTCTGCTGGGCTGTCTTGGATTCTTGCTCAGCTTCTTTAATTTTCTCAAAGGCCCCTAGAAATAATGGCATGAATTAGAAACTAAACCTCTTGCCAACAGATCCACAAAAAACAACAAGCAGTGCTGATCTTTTACCTCCAATTTCCTGAATCTGAATATTAGTGGCATTGTTTCTCAGCTCAGCGGCAAGGTTAGCTAAAGCTTTGATCCGGTTCTCAATCATGTCAACTCTTAATGCTTCTTTCATGATTTTTATTTTAGAGCTGGTCAGATTGGTATCTAACTGACGTAAAGCTAAGGAGCCTTCAGTCAAGTTAGCGCTGTAGATATGAGTGGAAGAGAAATATTACAGCAAACACCCATCAATTCACCTGTTTAACACAATACACTATGGAGCTAATAAAAATATCTCCACTTTTATATCACTGCAGATGGACCAAACACTTAGCTCATTTTTTTTCTTTTTGACATATTTTATAACTGTTTATAATTTACTAATGTTAAACTTTCTTCTTCTTCTTCTTCGTTCCTAATTTTTAGTGTTGGAATGGATCGAGCCTTATCTGCCAGAGGGTTAGAACTCGAGACTTTTTTTTTTTTTAAATTTATCAACCATGAGTTTTTGCCGACTCGACCACGCCTCCATCACAATTAAGGATACATGTCAACTGGTTATGCTCCATTGAGGCCATTGACTGAGATTGCAGCCTGCTTTTCCAACCAAGAACAAACTACAAGGCAGCAGTTGTTTGAATTCGGAGTTGTCTCTCCTAGAAGAGTGGCTGTCCCCAGCTAACGAGCCTCATCTGCCCCAGGGTTTTAACTCGAGACTTTTCGGTTTAGCAACCATGAGTTTTACAGACTCAACCACGCCGACCCACTAATTTTTATATTTAAAAATATCTACTGTAAACAGTACTTGGATTAATTAATGTGTTCAATTATTTAAAAAGCTACTAACTGTCGTGTCATTAGAAGTTGAAATAAAAAGTCATGTAAAAAAAAAGTTGACTGACTTTAAGTATTTGAGCAGGTCTTTAGTCTCCTGGATGTCAAACTGAGTAAAGTTGACATTAGACAAGATGTTGCGGATCTCTTCAATGTTATGCTCCATCAGCTTGAACTCTTCATCAAATGCCTTGATGGCACCAGTCACAGAAACTTCATTGGCTCTCTTGACAAGATCATGGGTCTGGTCTACAATAGAAAGGTACATTGGCTAGTTTACAGGAGTTACTATGTTTAAACTATACTAGTTTTGGCAAACTTTCAATCAATAAAGTACAACTAAAGGCAATCTAAAACAAGCTTTGGTAAGGAACACACTAGTAAGTTTCAATACAATGGATAATAACTTAATCTTTGGACTAGAAGAGTAATTTATATTGATTAATGCCAGAAAATACTGACTGGACTGACATTAAATTAAAAATGGTAGCTGTAAGCTCCCCACCTTGAAGCTCCATGATGATTTTATCCCAGTTGTCAAAACATTCACCACAAGGGACACAGTTGGGAAGGTCACCAGTAGTTCCACGAGCACAGCGGTCACACTTGTAGCCGGTCACTCCAGCCACACAGCTGCACTGGCCAGTTCTACGGTCACACTGTAGGGATGTGGAGCCCTGTTTGTTGCAGTCACAGGCTGTCGACAACAGAAACATTAGCAATGGTCTCACTGTAAGGCTGTCAACAATGGTCTCACTGTAAGGCTGTCAACAACAGAAACATTAGCAATGGTCTCACTGTAAGGCTGTCAACAACAGAAACAGCAATGGTCTCACTGTAAGGCTGTCAACAACAGAAACATTAGCAATGGTCTCACTGTAAGGCTGTCAACAACAGAAACATTAGCAATGGTCTCACTGTAAGGCTGTCAACAACAGAAACATTAGCAATGGTCTCACTGTAAGGCTGTCAACAATGGTCTCACTGTAAGGCTGTCAACAACAGAAACATTAGCAATGGTCTCACTGTAAGGCTGTCAACAACAGAAACATTAGCAATGGTCTCACTGTAAGGCTGTCAACAACAGAAACATTAGCAATGGTCTCACTGTAAGGCTGTCAACAACAGAAACATTAGCAATGGTCTCACTGTAAGGCTGTCAACAACAGAAACATTAGCAATGGTCTCACTGTAAGGCTGTCAACAGAAACATTAGCAATGGTCTCACTGTAAGGCTGTCAACAACAGAAACATTAGCAATGGTCTCACTGTAAGGCTGTCAACAACAGAAACATTAGCAATGGTCTCACTGTAAGGCTGTCAACAATGGTCTCACTGTAAGGCTGTCAACAACAGAAACATTAGCAATGGTCTCACTGTAAGGCTGTCAACAACAGAAACATTAGCAATGGTCTCACTGTAAGGCTGTCAACATTGTTAGCAATGGTCTCACTGTAAGGCTGTCAACAACAGAAACATTAGCAATGGTCTCACTGTAAGGCTGTCAACAACAGAAACATTAGCAATGGTCTCACTGTAAGGCTGTCAACAACAGAAACATTAGCAATGGTCTCACTGTAAGGCTGTCAACAACAGAAACATTAGCAATGGTCTCACTGTAAGGCTGTCAACAACACAAACATTAGCAATGGTCTCACTGTAAGGCTGTCAACAACAGAAACATTAGCAATGGTCTCACTGTAAGGCTGTCAACAACAGAAACATTAGCAATCGTCTCACCGTAAGGTTGCGAACAATATCTAAGAACTAACACTGAATTACTTTTACACCATTACCATGGTGCCATGTAAAAATACAAATACAACTACTTACGAAAACACGCTTCAGTAGGATCTCCATAAAAGAAATCCTCACAGTCAGCACATTTGGGTCCACCTCTTCCATCTAAACAATTACACTGGCCAGTGAACTAGTGAGGTAATAAGACAAATGTTTAGTGCAAGTTGCTAATTGAACCATTTAAACACTTTATTCAGTGCTTCATGTTATATGATGGGTTAGACATCTTTAGTGCAAGTTTCGAACCATTTAAACACTTTATTGAGAGCTTATGATGATACATGTTATATGATGTCCATGTCAAAGTTAAAAGACTAACCTGGTTACATTCTAGACTTGTAGAGCCTGAGGGATCGCAGTCACAAGCAGTGCAGCCTTGTTTGCTGTTGATGTTCCAGTGGGCTGGGCTGCACTGATCACATTTCTGACCAATGACATTAGGGAAACAAGGACACTGACCAGAATCCCTGTCACACTCTCCTAAAGAAGAGTTGGTGCCTAAAGAATGGCAGACACAACCTGAAAAAGATTTTGTGACATTATTTACCCAAAGGTGATTTTATTGCTAGTTGTCATCTGCTATGTACCAATCTTGATAAAGTACTATGCACATAAGTGGTGTCACAGTCTGGTGACACCAGGTGGGGTAGTTGATGGTGTCATCACCCCCTTCCTTCGCTAAAGATTTGATATACTAAAATTCAGATAATTTGAATCACCACAATCCCAGATATCTTATGACACTACTGTCTCATACTGATAGATGGTATTTATGTTAATAACAGTCTAGCTGATAATGAGATTATTTGAAAATTTGCTAAATGACAAAAATAATACAATTTATTTACTTATTCACTGAACTCACTGTACAATCAGCAGTTAAGTTGTTAAAGACTTTTTTTTTTAATTTAATTTTTAATAGAAATTTGAAACAAAAAAAATATTTGGTGAAATTATAATGTAAATAAAATAGGAATCTAAAAAAAAATAATTCGAGTGATGAAAAACTTCTGTTTGCATTTTTAAAAAAAATGTATCTGAATAGTACGAGCCATGTGTTGGAACTTTGAAAAGTTTGGTTTTTACTTAATATTTGTAAATAATTCTGCCATTAAGACTCCATTTTTCTGTAATCTAGCATTTAATCTTTGAATGAAATTAGGGAATCAAAACTATTTTGTGGCTGTCCAAGAAGTAAATATCTTTTCTTGTCTGGCCAAATAAAGGTAAGCATAGGAGGGGTTGTAAGATTTGAACTCAGGCCTTCAAATGAATATTTGTCTGAGCACACTTTGACAACCAATACTTTAGAGCTGTAGACACCAATACTTACGAGCACAATTCTGTTTGGTAGCATCCCCAAAGTAGCCATTGCGACAATGTTCACAAGCAAAGCCTTCAGTGTTGTAGAGACATTTCAGGCACTCTCCAGTTAAGCCATTGCAGCTCCCCGGGTCGTCTACGTTGATGTTGTTGTTACAGACACAAGGCTGGCATACACCTCCAATAACAGTTGGGTTACCATAGTAGTTTTCTATGCAGGTCTCACAATTGCGGCCTGTTCAAGGGAAAAGATGGCTGATGAATCAACATTTCTCTTTGTATCTCACAGACAAACAAAATTCATCCTACGCAAAAAGGCTTCAAATATACCCTATGACTAGGGGATCCTGCTGGAAGTTTGGAAAAATTGTTGACATAAAAGCTGGAATAAAAATAATGTTTACCTGAATACCCAGGATTGCAGTTACAATAAACTTCCTGATAGCGGGGATCATAGGAGCAGGAGTTTGCATGTTGAATGGAGCTGGTTGGGCCATTGGGACACATACAAGGCTTGCATGGGACACGAACACCAATTCTGGGATCTCCATAATAGCCTTGGTCACAGCTAGAATGGTGAAAGGTTTAAGGAATATTTAGACCACATGTTCTGCCATAATGAAAATCATACTTACAAACACACAAGTAAACAGTAACAAGTGTGACAAGTTGTGAATTGAATGAAATGTTACTCTGTGATGTTTTAAAGACGGGCAATAGTTTCCATACCTCTGACAGTTATCACCAGCAGTAAAGTCCCGACAGTTTATACAGACCCCAGTGAGTGGGTCGCAGGTTTCAGCGTTGCCGTTACACTGGCAGGCTCTGCACTGTGGGAACCCCCAGAAGCCAACCTTGCACTGGTCACAGGCACGGCCACCAATGTTCTGGTTGCAGGTACACTGTCCAGTTTGCTCATTACAGAACTTGTCTCTGGCACCAAACTCATGACAGTTACATGCTGAAAAGTTGCACACAAAGCCTCTACATGCCAGTAGCGTAACACTCTTATAACAGTTCAAACTTCAACACAAAGGAACTATCTATGTCTACATGCTAGTACAGAAATATTAAGTTCACCTCAATATGAGGCAACTATGACTACACAAATACTTCAATAAACTTACTTTTAATCTAAAGTACTAGGCAGCTAGGAGAAAATAAACTTTTTCTTACGTGTGCAGCCATTGGGTCCAAATCCATAGGTGCCTGGAGCACACTGGTCACACTTCCTGCCCACTACATTAGGCTTACACTCACACTGTCCACCACTTGGGTTACACTCAAGGCTAACTGAGCCAGTCACATCACACTCACAAGCTAGAGCAATGGTTGGAACAAAAATCTTTGAATAGTTTTCATAGCACTCAATAGACCAATACATCACAAACATTATTTTAAATAACAGTTGTTGAATATTAACAATGATATCCTACACTCACTACAATACTTTCCCACATGAAATTTGTTTGTATGATTGTGCCAGAGTTAAGACTTACCTAAAGCTCCATTGTGTAAAATAGCTGAGATAGAGAAAATATGCTTTGGGCAGTTTCTCTGTAGAGTTTGTCTGTATGAAGAGTACTGAGCTGTATCACATCTGTGATACAAGAATTCATTTTTCATGTATTCTGGTAGTCCACGGCCTTGATAAATAGGAATGCTTTCAGTATTGGGGACCAAAACAATCTGAAAACAGATGGCCAGTCACGGATCAGACGACCAGAAATACATTGTTTCACTACGGAAGAAAATCTCAAGATGGTACTTACAGAATCTATCAAGAGTGTAGCATCTGGATTGGACTGGCCTGACTTGTAGGCGTTAAAGTCTATTCTAATGGTGTATGTGGTTTTATCTTCCAAACACGATGGCGGTGATACTAAGTAGTAGCGTGTGCCTTCAGAGGAGAGGAGGGAGTTTCAGTACAAAGTGGCATTTTGATTCTATCTCGAGTTTACATTCAAATTAAGATGAAATTTTAGAACAAAAATTTGATATGAATGTTTACAATATGGGAAGATAGAATTACAGTACAGCCTTAAAGCATTTCAATAAAATCCAATTATAGGTTACTTTGTTACAGTACAGCAAAGCATTTCAATAGAATCCAATTATAGGTTACTTTGTTACAGTACAGCCTTAAAGCATTTCAATAGAATCCAATTATAGGTTACTTTGTTACAGTACAGCAAAGCATTTCAATAAAATCCAATTATAGGTTACTTTGTTACAGTACAGCCTTAAAGCATTTCAATAGAATCCAATTATAGGTTACTTTGTTACAGTACAGCCTTATTAAAGCCTTTCAATAGGATCCAATTCTAGGTTACAGAATGTGCAGCCTACCTGGTGGCAGAGAGACTGTCTTCAGGTCATCTCTGGGCCTGTAGTCCCCACACAGTCCATTAGGGTCCACTTGACCTGGTCTAATCACTGTAACTTTCACATCTTCAAAAGTTTCAGGCATCTAGGACAACAGAAATGTTCTACAATTGTAGCTATACAATAGACACTTGGATAGAATCAAATTATGCACATGATATTTTAACAAAATATTTCAATTTTCTACAACTGTAGCTACACAATAGACCCTTGGATAGAATCAAATTATGCACATATTTTAACAAAATATTTCAATTTTCTACAACTGTAGCTACACAATAGACCCTTGGATAGAATCAAATTATGCACATGGTATCTTAACAAAATATTTCATTTTCAAACATAAAATATAAATTTTAAAAATAATAGTAAGTAACATGCAAATATAAAAAAGAGAGTTTAAAATCAGTATTTAAAAAATATAGGATCCTTCCAAAATGCAGGAAGAAAAATTCAACATGTATCAGTGTAAATAAACTGATCCAACTAAACACAGACCTCAGATATGTAACAGATTCTTTTGGTTTATACAACTTATCTTACACGTGGATTATACTTTTACTTTGCCATGTCAAGATGTCTGATTACATGTGGATTTGTGATTACTTTAACTAAGCTAAATCAAGATGTCTGATTACATGTGGATTTGTGATTACTTTTACTGAGGTAAATCAAGATGTCTGATTACACGTGGATTATACTTTTACTTTGCCATGTCAAGATGTCTGATTACATGTGGATTTGTGATTACTTTTACTGAGGTAAATCAAGATGTCTGATTACATGTGGATTTGTGATTACTTTTACTAAGCTAAATCAAGATGTCTGATTACATGTGGATTTGTGATTACTTTTACTAAGCTAAATCAAGATGTCTGATTACATGTGGATTTGTGATTACTTTTACTAAGCTAAATGAAGATGTCTGATAAAAATGTCATGCTGAACGCAACAACTGTTAACTTAATTTTTTTGTCCAAAACAAAGTAATCCAAAAAGAACTTAAAGTGGTTAAAGAAAAACAATCAAAAAACAAAATCATATCTCATAATATCAACTTACAATTATATCCAAGAAGCATGTAAAATGGATAGAGATTACATGAATGATTCGATAACTTAATACCACATGAAAACATTATATATCAGTAACATAAAAGCACATTAAATACTAAAAATTTTTTTTGCATTACTTCAATGCTTTATAAATTGATTGTGTAATCTTAAGGTTAAATATATCAATTTAAATCAATGAACCTACCCTGGGGTCATATCTGATGACTATGTCATAGTTGATGCTTAAAGGTAGTCCAGATACAGTAAATTCTATACTGTCCCCTTCCATAACTCGCATGTAGCCTAGTCCAGTCCAATAGGAATGACCAGTGATTGGCTCTCTAGCATAAATACGGGCATTCTAAAAATGGATTAAGTATGTATTAGCTGGTTGTAAGTAAAAATAAAAACATTTGGATAAATTGATAATTGTAAATAAAATATTTCTAACCCCGCTGCCTTTTCCATATTCAGCTTCAAATAGGTAATGGTCCAAATGAGCAAAGAAATATCCAGGATCAACCTGTTTCAGATACAAAATAATGCCATTAGGTACAACATAAGGTCAGTATTACATACAGATATTTTATTACCTGGTCGGTATTTAATCTTATTTTAAGCACCAACATTTTTACTAGTGGGTAAACATTGAATAAATAGCATTACCATACAAGTTTGGTTGTCATGTGTACAAGATGTGTACTTACCTCTTTACAGTCTCTGCCTCTGATGTTGGGCCGACAAGGACATTTGCCTGTATCATAGTCACAGGTGAAGCTGAGGGAGGCACCAATGTCACAGTGACAGGGTTTGCAGCCATAGCGATTGTCTCGACTCAGCTGATAGTACCCTGGCTGGAGATGTCAACATTTCATAGCTTTAGTCCAAATTTGGGTTCAAAGGTTACAGAGAAAGTATAATATAAGGGATTTTAAACTTTCTTTAGATAGGTTGGTACAGATACATTTTTTAAAAACATTTAACATAAACTGGCATTAGGTAATGAGGATAAAATGTCAACCTACATAACACCTGTCACAATCTTTTCCAGTGACATATCTCTTACACCTACAGAGACCAGAGTCTATATCACAACCCACATCAGGGACAGTTCCATTAGGGTTGCAGGTACAAGCTGGATAAGATAAAGCACAAGTGTGAGTGATCTAGGGGGTCTATTCAGGTTTTACTACAGATGGTAGGAGAGCATTACTTGAAGCAGCTTACGTTCACAGCCCAGAGGATTATCCTGCCTGAGGTTCCAGTAGTTCTCTATACAGCGGTCACACCTAGGGCCAGCGACAAATGGTTTACACAAACATCTTCCTGCCACTGTCTTCGCTATTTCATCTGTTGTCTGTTCACATAATCCATTGCGTTGGGAACCATAGGAATCACAGTCACAAGCTGGGTACAGTCAAGTTAATTAAAGAATCATTTGATACAGTCAAGTTAATTAAAGAATCATTTGATACAGTTAATTAAAGAATTATTGAATACAATCAGGTTAATTAAAGAATTATTGGATACAATCAGGTTAATTAAAGAATCATTTGATACAGTCAAGTTAATTAAAGAATCATTGGATACAATCAGGTTAATTGAAGAATCACTTGTAGAAAAAGAAATCATGAATTAAAAGTGAATATTATAGAAAGAGGTTAAAAAGAAAATGAAATGTTTGCTAAATAAGAATTTTTATGTCAATGTCAAACTCACGCTGGCAAATCTCTGGATCCCTGATGTCTCTGGTTGGATCTTGATAAAAGAAGGGCCTGCACTCCTGGCAGTTGATGCCTTGAGTGTTGTGCATACAGTTGTCACACACACCCCCACTTTTTTCTCCTGATGCTTTGAACAAAGCTGCATCAAAATGGCAGGACGTTGCATGGTCGTTGCAGTTGCACTCTGGAAACAAATACAGGTTAGTACATTGCCCAAAGACAAGTTTTCACTGTTAATGGCCTCACTGTGTACTGCAATGATGATTAAATGAAAGAAGGGGCACCTTACATATATGGACATAAGGTTTGTTGATGATGATTAGATGAAAGAAGGGGCACCTTACATATATGGACATAAGGATTGTTGATGATGGTTTGATGAAAGAAGGGGCACCTTACCTATATGGACATAAGGTTTATTGATGATGGTTTGATGAAAGAAGGGGCACCTTACATATATGGACATAAGGTTTGTTGATGATGGTTTGATGAAAGAAGGGGAACCTTACATATATGGACATAAGGTTTGTTGATGATGGTCAAATGAAAGAAGGGGCACCTTACATATATGGACATAAGGTTTGTTGATGATGGTTAGATGAAAAAGTGGCACCTTACATATATGGACATAAGGTTTGTTGATGATGGTTTGATGAAAGAAGGGGAACCTTACATATATGGACATAAGGTTTGTTGATGATGGTCAAATGAAAGAAGGGGCACCTTACATATATGGACATAAGGTTTGTTGATGATGATTAGATGAAAAAAGTGGCACCTTACATATATGGACATAAGGTTTGTTGATGATGATTAGATGAAAAAAGTGGCACCTTACATATATGGACATAAGGTTTATTGATGATGATTAGATGAAAAAAGTGGCACCTACTTTTACAAACATAAGGTTTATTGATCCTGGAGGGACCCCAAGGTATATCATGATAGAAGTCCTCACACGCTTCACAGTTATGCCCTTTAGTATTGTGTGTGCATTCACATTTACCATGGACCTAAAACAAACAGAGGATTTTTTAAAGATGGCATCTTTTCTCCAATGACCAAACAGGACATGTGGCTGTAGGTGATGTTGTACCAACAAGGAAAGATTGCCAATTACCATGTGAGCTATGCTCTCTTCACTCCTGTTGTACCCAGGCACTGGCACACATCTTGAGGCATGTCCGTAACAAGAGCAGCTTCCTCTGATGACAACGTTACTTAAAGCATAGTAGTACTTTTCTTTCACCTCAGGCCTAGTGTCCAGCAATGTGTCACCTGAAAAAAAAGTTTCACATTTGGTAACATGAGCTTTCACCACTAAGTTAACCTATAGATTATATCCTATTGAACACAAATATTTTACTACTGCATATACATGTGTGATGCTGCAGTGTTGAATATTGTACTAAACACATTTATGACAAATATATTCCTAAGTAGCAGAACATAAATCCAGCTGTTTGTATACAAAACATGAGGGTGGTTTTCCTGTCTTGGCACTTGTTTACTTGCCCTACTTACACATTCCAGTTACTAGAGGAGATAATTTGTGGGGTGGAATAACAACAGGACTGTCATCTGTCACAACAGGACTGTCATCTGTCACAACAGGTCTGTCATCTGACACAACAGGTCTGTCATCTGTTACAACAGGTCTGTCATCTGTTACAACAGGTCTGTCATCTGTCACAACAGGTCTGTCATCTGTTACAACAGGTCTGTCATCTGTCACAACAGGTCTGTCATCTGACACAACAGGTCTGTCATCTGTTACAACAGGACTGTCATCTGTCACAACAGGACTGTAATCTGTCACAACAGGACTGACTTCTGTCACAACAGGTCTGTCATCTGACACAACAGGTCTGTCATCTGTTACAACAGGACTGTCATCTGTCACAACAGGACTGTCATCTGTCACAACAGGACTGTCATCTGTCACAACAGGACTGACTTCTGTCACAACAGGTCTGTCATCTGTCACAACAGGTCTGTCATCTGTTGCTGCATGTCTGTCATCTGTTACAACAGGTCTGTCACATCAGGTCTGTCATCTGTTACAACAGGTCTGTCATCTGTTACAACAGGTCTGTCATCGGTTACAATAGGTCTGCCATATGTCATCAGGTATGTCATCTGTTACAACAGGTCTGTCATATGTCACATCAGGTCTGTCATCTGTTACAACAGGTCTGTCATCTGTTACAACAGGTCTGTCATCTGTTACTGCAGGTCTGTCATCTGTTACAACAGGTCTGTCATCTGTTACAGCAGGTCTGTCATCTGTTACAACAGGTCTGTCATATGTCACATCAGGTCTGTCATCTGTTACAACAGGTCTGTCATCTGTTACAACAGGTCTGTCATCGGTTAAAATAGGTCTGTCATATGTCACATCAGGTCTGTCATCTGTTACAAAAGGTCTGTCATCTGTTACAACAGGTCTGTCATCGGTTACAACAGGTCTGTCATCTGTTACAGCAGGTCTGTCATCTGTTACAATAGGTCTGTCATATGTCACATCAGGTCTGTCATCTGTTACAAAAGGTCTGTCATCTGTTACAACAGGTCTGTCATCCGTCACAACAGGTCTGTCATCTGTTACAGCAGGTCTGTCATCGGTTACAACAGGTCTGTCATCTGTTACAACAGTCTACACTTGATAATATGTGGCGTGTATTATGGAACTCCCCCATTAGCCATATCCACATAGTGTTGTACTTAAAAGAGCAATATACAAAGTTAAATGGTTTTAAAAGTGTATACCATTGATATCAAGTTTAGAGTAATTTTCGGTAAATGATAAAAAAAATAACCACCACAACCACTTTTCTTTCTTTTATTTCGGCTAAGAAAGTAAAAACTTATTTCAAGGCTGTCGCTATTTAAGCTCATACCGACAAAAGAATAATGGAAGTTGGTGGTCAAGTAAGTCAGCTCTATCGGTTGTGCACGTGACGGTGAAGAAACTAGGTAGAAACAGGAAGATGTCACCACAGTAGCATGTGGACGACAACATCTTGAATGTGAGATTTAAAAAAAAACAACTTTACAACAGAACAAATTCTACTCAAGATTCGGAAATTCTGTTGAATTTAAAGGCCTGTTGTAAGATACGTAAGTTTTTTATAAAAAAAAACAACAAATGACTTGCGAAAACATGTGCACTTTTTTTTTCAAGTTACAAACGCTCTATTGTGGAAAATAAAATATAAGACAGTGTTTAATAGTGAAATACAATTCTCTCACAACAAGCAAACAGTACATCGGTAGCTCTAAAAGACATTTAGAAACAGTACCGTGGGAAGAGAAGGAAGTAACGCTGACAAATATGTAACGCGTGCGGGGTTTGATCAAAACACCGGTAAGCAGCGAGACTTAGCCTTGACTGTTGCAGCTTAAGTAGATGAAGGAAAAAACTCCAGCCACGTGATGGCGGTACCGGTATGTTTTTCTAAGATGTAAGTGCACGCAGGTGTGCACGGCAACAGTGCCTGTAACCATGCTGCAGGATGTTAGAGCTATTGGAGCTGTCAATCATTCGCCTCATTCAAGTAGCAGCCACAATACACGCTTCAAACCAAATGTACAGGCTACACAGATCTAGCTCACCAACAACGTGTTTATGTGTCAGGGGGGGATATAAATGTACTGATACAACATGTGTTAGTTCAGCGTCGTGTAGGTATTTAAAGGGTATAAACCTGGGATGGCTGTGGTACAATACACCCGTCCATCCATGGTCCCACAAAGTAGTGACAGCAATATAGAAAGAGGATAAAGAAAGAGTTTGTCTCAGGCACTGGTGAGCTCGTGTAGTAAAAGGCAACACCCAGTGTGTTGGTGGAATGGAGAGAAAATATAAAGGACAGACAAGATGGAGGGAAGAAATAAAAAATGAATGGGTTTTTTTTTTATCGCAGGCCTATAAAATGTACACACCGCAACAATAAATTGTATTAGAAGTGGACCAAGTACTAGAACATGGTGATTTAAGTGAGGCGATTAAGAACCGTTAGATGAAAGCGTGCTACAAGAAAGGTACCAGCTGAGTCAGCCATTGGGACGTGAAGTCATTTCAACAATGTGTGGAGATAATGCTAACAAGCCGTGTCAACAGTGCAACCAGTGCCCTAGGCTGCTTAAGTAAGGCAATTGATTCAAGCTAATCCACACTTCTTCCTGTCGGTACAGCTCATGTGTGTGAGCAATTGATTCAAGCTAATCCACACTTCTTCCTGTCGGTACAGCTCATGTGTGTGAGCAATTGATTCAAGCTAATCCACACTTCCATTCTTCCTGTCTGTCAGTACAGCTCATGTGTGTGTGAGCAATTGATTCAAGCTAATCCACACTTCATGTCGGTACATGTAATGTGTGTGAGCAATTGATTCAAGCTAATCCACACTTCCTGTCGGTACAGCTCATGTGTGTGAGCAATTGATTCAAGCTAATCCACACTTCCATTCTTCCTGTCGGTACAGCTCATGTGTGTGAGCAATTGATTCAAGCTAATCCACACTTCCATTCTTCCTGTCGGTACAGGTAATGTGTGTGAGCAATTGATTCAAGCTAATCCACACTTCCATTCTTCCTGTCGGTACAGGTAATGTGTGTGAGCAATTGATTCAAGCTAATCCACACTTCCTGTCGGTACAGCTCATGTGAGCAATTGATTCAAGCTAATTCACACTTCCATTCTTCCTGTCTGTCAGTACAGCTCATGTGAATGAGCAATTGATTCAAGCTAATCCACACTTCCTGTCGGTACAGCTCATGTGTGTGAGCAATTGATTCAAGCTAATCCACACTTCCTGTCGGTACAGCTCATGTGTGTGAGCAATTGATTCAAGCTAATCCACACGTCCATTCTTCCTGTCGGTACAGCTCATGTGTGTGAGCAATTGATTCAAGCTAATCCACACTTCCATTCTTCCTGTCGGTACAGGTAAAATGTGTGAGCAAGCACTCCGTGGCCTGTCTACACGCACCTGTGTGCTACGGAAAAGAAACAATAAGAACATCAACGGAATGAGGTCTAAGCAATGTAATTAAACGGTTTATGCCTTTCATCAGCATAATTGACGCAGCACGCCAGGAAAAAATAATCACAAAATGCAAGAAATTATATTTCTTTTTTCTCAGTCAAACAGATTAAAATGCGCACTTCATTGTATGCGCAGTTTTGCTGATATGAAGCAAACATACTCTTAAGTAGAATAATGGGGAGGGTAAAAAAGATATTTTAAATGTGGCCTTAAAATAAACTGGAACAGTTTTTTAGAAGTTAAACTTTAATAATTGTTTTCTCTCTCGTTTCATTCGAACTTGAGCATCTCCTTACATCTGGGTATAAGCTTGCCACAAACAGCTGACACTGCCTTGGGTATCTACCTAAGATTGCGGTCTAATCGTCTAGTGTACACGTTTGATAGGGAGGGTCACAGTGTCATTGAGAAGACAACCTTCACAACTTGTCGAGCGCTTGAAGCTTTTCAACGGTAAGTAGCCAACTTCAATCAACACGAATTTACCAGCTGTGTTCATTTAGAAACATTTAACAAGTACAGCCCACTTTAGATTTCACTTAGAAACATCAAATAAGTACGGCTGATTTTAGATCTGCAGTTCAGATACTTTCTAATTTGGCCATACGCCTACTATCAAAAATGGTGTTTAAATAAACCGCTTCCTTGAATAAAAAACCTATATATGGCAGATTTGAGTTTAAAAATAACATGAGTAGGGTGTAAGGTAATTAGTTGTGGGGACGATGAGTGGAACACGATCGCCAGGATAGGTCGTTAATGTAGCCCATTTCTTCAATGTTTACAGTACACGGCTAAACGTGTTCTTTCAATTATAACAATAATGTAGCCCGTTTCTTCAATGTTTACAGTAAACGGCTAAACGTGCTTTTTCAATCATATAACAATAATGTAGCCCGTTTCTTCAATGTTTACAGTACACGGCTAAACGTGCTCTAGTTGTTTCAATCATATAACAATAATGTAGCCTATTTCTTTAATGTTTACAGTTCACGGCTAAACGTGCTCTTTCAATCATATAACAATAATGTAGCCTATTTCTTTAATGTTTACAGTACACGGCTAAACGTGCTCTTTCAATTATAACAATAATGTAGCCCGTTTCTTCAATGTTTACAGTAAACGGCTAAACGTGCTTTTTCAATCATATAACAATAATGTAGCCCGTTTCTTCAATGTTTACAGTACACGGCTAAACGTGCTCTAGTTGTTTCAATCATATAACAATAATGTAGCCTATTTCTTTAATGTTTACAGTTCACGGCTAAACGTGCTCTTTCAATCATATAACAATAATGTAGCCTATTTCTTTAATGTTTACAGTACACGGCTAAACGTGCTCTTTCAATCATGTAACAATAATGTAGCCTATTTCTTTAATGTTTACAGTTCACGGCTAAACGTGCTCTTTCAATCATATAACAATAATGTAGCCTATTTCTTTAATGTTTACAGTACACGGCTAAACGTGCTCTTTCAATCATATAACAATAATGTAGCCTATTTCTTTAATGTTTACAGTACACGGCTAAACGTGCTCTTTCAATCATATAACAATCAAGCATCGACTGGATTTCAAAAAGCCTTACGCATGGAAAGTCGTCACATTCCAATGGCATGAGTGGGCATAGAGCCCCGGTGTATACAAATGGTAATTAGGTTATAATCATACCTCAGGACCCACATTAAGATAAATGTTCTGGCACAAAGGAAACGTAGGCAATACAATCTCCAGTTATCTTTTGCATTGGCTTTATTAGTGTCTAATGAGATATTGGTAACATTCATTTGGCGTTGGTATTATTTTGTGTAAAGTACAAGAGGGCATGGTATCATCATCAAGTGTGTATGTAGACTTAATGTGCAGTCAACTTGGCTAGGCCTAGAGCCCGAGTTCTGTGACTACCCAGACATGCATTCGATAATTTATTCAGGCTGACTGGAACAGGTCTATTTATAGTCACATGGGACACTGGTTTATTTTTGTTCTACCCAACGACAAAAGATTAATGGGATCACGAAAAAAGATATTGTCGGTGTCTAGATTTTAACGACTATCCTTATAACTATTAACTAGCTGTTTTTTTCTGGGTATTATAGTGTCTGAACATGGTAAAATATCACCAGGTTAGCTCGACAAATCGCTCAAGCTTTCAAATACATAGCTAGTTTTGTACAACGTTATATATTAGAAAATCAGGCGTGTTTAATGTTTTTCTTGGTCAGTCCAAGTTTAGTCTGTAAAAATGGTGCCACCGATTCTGAGAGCGGCACTTGCCTTGCGTTAGTTTTCACACATTAACAGGCGCAGTCATCGTTGTCTATTTCAGCACAATGGTAATAAAGTTTTGTTGTCTATATCGACACAATGGTAATAAAGTTTCGTTGTCTATATCGACACAATGGTAATAAAGTTTCGTTGTCTATTTCAGCACAATGTTAATAAAGTTGTAGGGAAGAGGATGGTGCCTATTTCGTAGGGGTGGGAGTGTGTTACTACAAAGTTCTCAAGTAGCATACTGGTGTGTGTGTGTGTGTGGGGGGGGGGGGGTCAGCTGTACTCAGCACCTTGTCACGAACAAGTTTATGTCATCAAACAAAGTTCCACCCAGTGTCAGATTGATGTGTGTGTGGGGGGGGGGGGGGGGGGGGGTCTGCTGTACTCAATAAGTTTATGTCATCAAACAAAGTTCCACCCAGTGTCAGAGTGTAAGCCACGGCAAACACAACAAAGTATTGTAAAATTAACACCTCCACCCTGTTCACTGCTACGTGAGGGACATCCAAATCACGCGACAATATCAGTTGGTACAGACAGAGACAACACTAAAGTAGAGCTGGAGAAATACAACGACAGAACATAGACAAGTAGCCGTGTAGTTCACGCTGACATCAAATATCTGGTACATACAGAGACAACACTAAAGTAGAGCTGGAGAAATACAACGACAGAACATAGACAAGTAGGACAGAACATAGACAAGTAGGACAGAACATAGACAAGTAGACGTGTAGTTCACGCTGACATCAGATATCAGCTGGTACAGACAGAGATAACACTAAAGTAGAGCTAGAGAAATACAACGACAGAACATAGACAAGTAGGACAGAACATAGACAAGTAGGACAGAACATAGACAAGTAGCCGTGTAGTTCACGCTGACATCAGATATCGGCTGGTACAGTCAAACACTAGAGTAGAGCTAGAGAAATACAACGACAGAACATAGACAAGTAGGACAGAACATAGACAAGTAGACGTGTAGTTCACGCTGACAGGTGGCGGGTTAGGGCTGATCAGCTGGGACCTGTACAGCAACAAGACCAAATGACAACTTGCAATAAAAACAACAACAGGAAGAAGGAATGTACACAGGTGAAGGCGCTTACCTAAGGTGTGGAGCTCTGTGAAGTTGATTCTCAGGTTTGTCAGCTTGAGCAAGTTTTGAACCTTCTCGCCGTAAGGGTCACGGACGGAGCCAGAGTATCTCAGAACTTTGAAGATGACCTGCACAAACATGGACAAATCAGATACAATAATAGGCGATCACGCATAATATAAGTAGTACGAGACTTTAAATACATTTCATCTAATGGATATTATAATGTAAAAAAAAAATGTTTAGACATGCTGAGCAAAGTGAAAGTAAGTTGGGTCATTGCTTTAGCTCTACACGATGTTTGTGTAACTTCCTGTGGTGAATGGCGTGGCTCTACTCTTGCTGGGACGGCTAATTTACTACACAAAACCTAAACAATCTACCTCCCCCACCCCTTTCCTTCCATACACCTGATATTCATGCATGCCCATGGACTATCATATCATTGTGTGAGTTTAATCCACCAGAATCATGAACTCTGATGTTTTAAATTTAAAAAGTAGACTAGGGCTGATGTAAGACCCGACAAAATATGTGAGGGTAGATATTAAACAAGTTGAGTAGAACAAGTCTTGGTTCAGTACAGCCAGAGGTCAACCTACGATTCACACAACTTCTTCGGGGCCATAAATTAAAAAAAAAAACACAAAAAAAAAAAAACAATAGCAACAATCTTGCCGATAGTTGTAAGGCAAGGTTGGTAATGTGTAACAAGCTATGGATAACGCGAATTTAAAAAATCAGAATGATTAAACAAAACAAGTTTAATTACAATCAATAATATATCTAGTGCCCTCTATATTTTCAAACACTGCCCAAGTTGGGAGAAATTAAATCTAGTAATGACACAGAGAAGCATTATGTGTTACCTGCCCGTAGACCTATTGTACGCTGCAAAAATACTGATTGTTTAACTTCAAGACTATGAGTCAGGGAATATCAAAATATAAGCCCATATCATATTCAGGTGATCTCTTTAACTGTTGTAGCAAGCAAACATTTGGAGCAGCCATTACAACTCATGAAATCCCAGGACTACAAGAGACACAACATAGACTGACATTTTCTCAACAAACACACAGAAGTTGGATAGTCTGGTGTCCGTGACTGGTCAAATATTGGTCATTTACAGCCTACGTTCGTCACAGTGGTCAGCAAATCTGGTGCCCGTGACTGGTCAAATATTGGTCATTTACAGACCACGTTTGTCACAGTGGTCAGCGATAAGCAGGAAACTGCACATGTAAGCAAGGGTAACAAGCAGGAAGCTGCACATGTAAGCAAGGGTAACGGCACAGCTGAATAAACACATATGTAGCTCATACCCTGACAAAAACAACTACGGTGAAAATGAAGAGCTTGTACTTACCTCACCATAGCTGGAAGGTGTCTCAGCTGAGTAGCTTTCGTCACATATAACATCATAGTTGCCTTTAGCGGGGCCCTTTGGTACATTAGGAAACGACCTGTCACAGCTCTGAGCAAAGTAAACATACACCTGCCAGGTAGCCCCGAAGTCAAAGGATCTTTCAATGAGCATGGCCTTGGGTCTGAATGTTTTGAAGGTCATGATGATGTGAGTGACGTGAAACTCGGCCTCCAGATCGAGCTGGATGGAAACCTTCTCCTTGCCGGTCTCGGCCTGCCACCATCGGGTCGGCAGCTTGTGCTGTAGAGAGGATATGATGTTCTCTATCCGGTGGCTCTCGTCCGATACGCCCGGCACCCACGGCTGGCGCGAGTCGCAGAAGAAACACTTGGTGTCTTTCTCTAGGTAGCTCACCACACAGTACCTTTGTTTCTGCTCCAGGCCACAGGTGGACGAGGCGGTCAAGTTCATCTCACGCCCAATTAAAAGATCGCCGGTAGCAGGGTAACAGCTGCCCTGCTCACACGGTCCAGCACCCACATGACCACACGTTCCTGAAATGTTAGGATTTCAATCAACGACACGCCAGTTCATATCAAGTATCAACTGGGGGGGGGGGGGGGAAGGGGGAAGGTTTACACGGAGGAAAACATTTTTCGTATTTTTCGTATTTATTTACATTCGTCACACTAGCCCGACTTAAACGATCTGCAAAAGTCTTACAGTCGTCAACAAATTACTTGTGTCTGTCATGTTGCCTTCACGAACTTAAATACCGGTTTAAAAGCTGAAGGCGTTAAAAACAAATTATTCCCATAATTCGTTTTAGATTTAATTGAATGTTGCAACAGAAAGGACTTAGTGATGTTCAAATTTCATCAATTTATGCCATCTACAAAAGATTCTAATTTTAGACACCCATTCCCCACATTCGTCAATACTGGACGGTAAAAAAAAAAAAAACAACATAATATTCTAGAAACCAACGGTAAATGTATTAATTACATGTGTTTTTTATGTGTAGCTTGCAGTGCTCAACTAAAAATATGTACTCATTTATTATTTTTTGAAAGCCTGTTTTTAAATATTAAAAGTAAAATTTGGAACGTGATGAATAAAAGTAACAAGTAGAGATATTTGAAAATAGCTTCTTAATTAACTGAAACGATCTTTTCCGCATTACAAACAAAAACTCATGAGCACACTTAGAAGCCGAAACGCCGCATCCTTAATTATGTTTTCATTCATAATTTAAGTCGTAAGGCCACATCAAGTTATTGATACCGGGATTTAACGCCGACACACTCTATACTTTTAGCATGCAGTTCAATGGGTTGTGTTTGTTGTCTAGCCAAGTATGTGGATGTTAAATTTGACGTATAGACGTCAACATGGATTCGAACCCTCCCTCAGCCCACTAAAGTCGTTTCTAATCAGCCCTTCTCCAGGTGGACTATATAAACTAAACGGATGATCCCTTACGTGATGAAGAAACTGGATGTGTAAATACAACAAGTTGGAATCATTGGTTTTTTACAGCTGAAACTTGGAATGTGCGGGTTCTTAATAATTATTTTTTAATTTAATCGTTTCACCAAGGTCTATATAGACTGCAGGGGATAGCTTGAGTTTGAGCTACTTTCACCTGTAATAGTCCGCTGAAAAAAACCCACCTAACGAAGTTTTCGTTTATTTACAAGTACTGTGGTCACCAATATATACACAATTAATTATTTTATTTGTAAGTTTTATAACGATACAGTTTAGAATATAACTAATTGGATGATTAGTATTTACCGTTGTGATGGGTGTATTAAAGCTTAAGTAATAAATCTAGTTGGAATAACACGTTTCTTTGTGTAGAAAATTTTTTTTGTGCCACCAAAAAAGTGTTTCGTGTATAGAAAATAAATTCTCATTCGTAATGGACACCAGCGAGTTGACGAGATTCCTTCCATAATGTTGTTGACATGGAATAAAAGCGTGCTTTTTAGATTTAGACCGTAAAAAAAAAAAAAAAAAAAAAAAAAAAAAAAAAAAATTAAGCCTAAAATTAATTTAGAAATTTTATATTTTTACAATAAATGCTATTAAAGTTGCAAATTCAGAGAACTTGAAAATAATTTGTTGAGTTTAAGGCTACATTTCTATTTATTTTCATCAAGCCTAAGTTATAACCGGGTGTTTCACTTTCGTAAGACAAATATTGATTGGCTGTACAGTAACTTAGTGATCGATAACTATTTGTTTACAAAACTTTGCAGATCAAGTTTTTAAATAACAATGCAAATTTAAATTCCATGACCTAGCTTTTCTATTTTTAGCTTACACTGTGTACAATAAAATTTATGGCGGCCTATCGAATAACAGGATGCCATTGTTTATGTCGCCATAACACGTGAAAACCAAATTGTTTTTGCTTTTTTTTTAAATTTTTATTTAGTTACCGAAAATATTAAAAACATCAAATACATCCAATCTTTAGTAAAGTCCGAAAAAAACCAGACAGACAGGATTTTATAACCATATTAATTGTAACTACGCCGTGCATGATTTTTAAATTAATTTATGGACCTCTCAAATACCTTTGAGACTTTTCTCGCTGGCGTCCATTAATCAATCTTCATCGTACATAAATAGGGCTTGATTTTTATATATTTTTTAGAAAATAAAACCTAGAGCGAGACAAAAGCCTATTAATTATGCAACCCTCCCCCTGATTAACTATAGGTCTGTAGACGACAATTTTTTGAGCTACGGTTGAACTCATGTCAACAACATTTCAAATCTGTAGACTAGAAATGTCTAAGAATGAGTCTTCCCTCAATCATACGCTTCCTAAACACGGTGTATTAGTGCATCTTTGCGAGACCACTGCTAACTGGGTCTGATAAAGAGGCACACGGATGTGAGCACTTAGACCGCATGGCATTGCGTGTACTTGACGTGTGTAGAAAGGAGGTGGGGATACATCAACTCCAGATGTTCATCACCAAGTGGCTAACGCTGAGAGAACACGGTGTAACACCAGCTTTCTAGTCTAGCGGCTCAACCATTCCATTCAACTTTCTAATTATTTCATCTCTATACTTCTTCAATGTGTTTACCATTTGACTAAATATTTGTAAGTAAAAGAAAAAGGGTCTAAGATCTAGTAGAAAAGAAGAGCTGGAAAACTTCAAAAAGTTCGTGCGAGTATTTACATAATGTTCGCGATTTAATTACGATTGGTTCTCTTCAATTAGAGGTTTATTGATTCAGGGGGTATTAGTGACTGTTTATATCACACATAAATCAATTCATATTCTAAGTTTTAGGGAAGTTCCCTTTCGAACATGGGGTAAGGAAAGTTGAGTTCACCTAATTATGTGGTCAGCACTATGCCCAGCCGCCTTTGCTTTCCTTAACGTGAGTAAAATCTACATACCGGAATAATGGGATAGTATTAATCAGAAATTGCTGTGCCTGTGGTTTCTTTCAGGCAGTTTACTTTCGGGATTTAAATATATATCTTTTTTAAATAATTTTTTTTCAATTTTCGTAAAGGGGAGGGGATGTTGGTGGACGAACTGGTCTCTATGAAATCTATAACGGGATATACTAGATAAGGGCTAGGTCACGAAATATCAACGTGAAATTGGTTACACGATTTTTTTCCTTCGCTACAACGAGTCAGATAACTAAAAAGAAAACACGCCCAGCCATTCATAAGTACTAAGCTGAATGAACGTGGAGTATTTATTTATATACCAAGAGGTTCTTTTCGTTACGCTCCAAGCTACAAGAATGTGTTCCACTGACACCGATACAGACACTTCTCAAGCGGGTTTTTTCTGTAAATAGCTGTCTTATCAGCTGGCATATATATATATATATATATATATATATATATATATATATATATATATATATATATATATATATATATATATATATATATATATATATATATATATATATATATATATATATATATATATACACACACAAGCAAGAGGTGCGGCCAAAGCAAGCATTGGTCGCACCTCTTGATATATATATATATATATATATATATATATATATATATATATATATATATATATATATATATATATATATATATGTGTGTGTGTGTGTGTATCACTGCATGTGTGCTTGTAATTTTTCAAAGACTGAAAAAAGATGCAAATGATCCCAAAATGTGTGAAAAATGTAGTCTGCTATATACAATAACGAAAAACCATTTATTTCTTACACGAGGAGAGCCAGGAATGCGTCTGTGTAAAAGGTATTTTAAGTGTTCAATAGGACACAAAGACTGCCCGACCGACTTGGGAACTATCGGTTACTTTAGTGTTTGTTTTAGACTGAACACGCGTACTGTAGCGCCACCAATTTATAGGTCAATGGATTAGGTTTTTTAAAGCTGTTCCACCCCTTATCGTTTAGCTACCTCATAACATTTTAAACCGATTCTATCACAAGAATTTTAAATCCTAAATTTAATAATTGCAAGTTCCTGTAGAGCCCGTGACAGAAAACAGCAAAGACAATGTGATACTGGAAATCGACATCTTTTAAACGAAATACAAGATACAAACACCATATGTTACACAAGGCAGTTAAGAATTTTTTTTTTAAATCGGTCAACAAAATTCCTAGGGTATTATTCAGGATACATTTCTCCCCATGATTTGTGTGTATGTGTCGTTACCGCTTGGACCGAGTAGGTGGTGTACGTACGTCCACTTACTGAACAATTAGACCAGGGATTGAGGACAAGGCCAGTAACAAAGATACAAGTACGACTTTGTTAAAGTTGCCCTCTGACCCAGAGCAAACACCCGCTTCGTATCTCCAGGACCGCATTACACGGGCTTAACGGGGAAATGGGCACTATTATCTATGGTCGTTAAGGGGCATTTCACCTTCACACTGCGCTACCTTGCTGACTAGAGAAGTGTATGCGCTGTAATAAAGCTAGTCTAGACCATGGGACAGGTGCTTTTCCTTAGTGCTGGATAAATAATTATGACAATAGGTGTATGCCCACGCAGGAATGTGGAGAGAGTGGGGTGACTGGTAAAGCGGGCTAATAGTGTAAAGGCACAGATATACGGTAACTTTGTCCATTTGGACATCTGTCCATTACCTCATAAGACTAAAAAACTGGTCAGAGGGTAAGGGGAGTGATCCTCGATATCGCTGTTCAACTGTATACAAACTCAGTGCATAGAGATCTATTTATGTACCGGGACACAACTGGTCTTAAAATCACGTCTAACGTAGCACAGGAAGTAGACTTGTCTATTTGACAGGATGTTTATAAATATTCTATGCTCCCTCAGGCATAGTTTTGGTGAGACACGAAAATGTTATCCATTGTTAAAAACGGGCTCTATCCTGTATTTCAAAATGATATTCACACAGCGGATTCCCCCAATAAAAGCTGACAATCAATTAACGCGACAACCTTTGATTCGTGAGCTGCAAAGAGGTGTCAATTTAGGCTCGTGAAAGATGTGATGTCAAACGTGACTGACAATCGAGAATACTAAATGCCAGATACATTATACAATGAGGCCCATTGTCAATTGTGCATGACTGTGCAATGATTACAGGCTATTTCTCATCGTGGGAGGTGATCATGAGCGATAGTCTGACATTCACTGGCATATACTGTATTTGGTGAAAAGTATGCTGTTTTGTGTCTGACAGGAAACAGCAATCAATTGAGAAAACGAACAAATAAAGAGCCATGAAAGCGAGACTAGGTGTAGAGTTGTGTTAATTAAAAGAAAGGTAGACAGTTCTTCTAAAAATATACTCGGTATACTTTCCCTAACGACTGCATGCTAAGTGGTGGGAGGAGAGGTTAAACAAACAAGACCAGGAGCTGACATTCTAAAAGGAAAACATTTAATGGTACTAGCGGAGACCATATCTAACTCGTTTTTATCTCATTCTTAAAAGAAAAACGTGGTTTGCTGAAAATATCGAATATAGTAATAAGTTACTATCTACATCGATATAATTTAACCTCATAAGATCAAGTAATGGGTCCCAGAAAAGGATGAATAAACCCAGACAGAAAAACAAGGTGTATAGACACCATAGTTGGCAGTACAGTTAGGGATGGATGTTTTCCTGATGGTGTCCGTGTTAAGGCTGTATAACTTTTTTTACATAAAAAAATAGACCCCCGCCGATGGTCATAGTCACAAGTGTTTCCTCAAAATCGAACAGATATTTAGACTAATAGCCGATAACGATACGTAAACCCTTAACTGCTTGAACCTAACCCTGCGAGTGTAACTACCACCGACTGGTAAGGTTAAAAGAAAAATGTGTGTATCATTATATAGGCCTGCCGTGTAAGAGGCTATATTTTTTTCTCCCGGTCGTTGAAAGACGTTACACCGATGGAGGGCAGGGCTTACAACATGCTTGGATCCAGAGAGCAGCACCCGAAAATTAAACACAGCTTCCGTGCTGAGGTCGGTGAGCGTTGAGCCGAGTGAGATAAGAGATACACAGGAGCGGGCGGGAAACGAGGAAATGAGCCCTCACACCCTGCACTTTGCTGGAGTCGATTGAACCGTGGCTCGCTCAGCTCAATGTTACAGCTATTATCATTGTCTTTATACACTCCAATGTTACAGCTATTATCATTGTCTTTATACACTCCAATGTTACAGCTATTATCATTGTCTTTATACACTCCAATGTTACAGCTATTATCATTTTCTTTTTACACTCCAATGCTACAGCTATTATCATTTTCTTTATACACTCCAATGTTACAGCTATTATCATTTTCTTTTTACACTCCAATGTTACAGCTATTATCATTTTCTTTTTACACTCCAATGCTACAGCTATTATCATTTTCTTTATACACTCCAATGTTACAGCTATTATCATTTTCTTTATACACTCCAATGTTACAGCTATTATCATTTTCTTTATATACTCCAATGCTACTTCTACAACTTTAATAATTTCTTTATACACTAAACTCCAATGCTAGATCATTATTATCATTTTCTTTTTACACTCCAATGTTACAGCTATTATCATTTTCTTTTTACACTCCAATGCTACAGCTATTATCATTTTCTTTATACACTCCAATGTTACAGCTATTATCATTTTCTTTATACACTCCAATGTTACAGCTATTATCATTTTCTTTATATACTCCAATGCTACTTCTACAACTTTAATAATTTCTTTATACACTAAACTCCAATGCTAGATCTACGACCCTTATTTCTTAATACACTAAAACATCAATGATAGATCTACAACTTTAATCATTTCTTTATACACAAAACTAACATTAAACACAGGAAATGTAACATAATTTGCTAAATTAATTTACAACATGTGTTACAATGCTCTAAAGTGAGACAACCCAGTTCAATATATTTATTTCATGTTCATAAAAATGTGTGCATAATTAATTTATCCCACCATTCACTAAAATTATGTAGTAAAATCTTATAATTTCTGTTCTAATCAAACACTAATACTTAAAATGGTGAATCCTTTCATGACATCTACACAGCAGGTAGGAGGGTTGAGGAGGGGGGGGGGGGAGGTATGAATTGCTTCTAGTACATCTATATTGTGAATTAATACAACAAGTCAAATACTCCAACAACAGCAGGAAAATCTGTATTTTAAGTAGAACCAACCACTTCAAATTTAAAAAAATAACATTTTTTAATGCATAAGTTTAGATCTGGCTAGGAAAACATGAATAAAACTTCTCCAGTTGATTCTTCCAGTATTTCATAACTAATATCTGGACAAATAATAAATAAGCCTACATTTTTATCAGTGTGATGTATACAGACACGTGTTATTAAACATATAAATGTATTTATCGGAACAACTTATGCTTGGTAATCAGTCACATTAGCTTAAGTTTCTACATACGGGTAGGTCTGATTACTAAAGACAAAATGGACAAGTATAACCTTAAAATTAAAATAGCTCAAAAGTAGACATTTAGAGATCATTATAAATAAGTGTGGAGATTTTTAAAAAAATATGCTTACCTAACAAAAGAAGCACACCAATAAATGCAGGTAGTTCATGAATATATTTATCCATTTTGAAGATTTTTAATTATTCCAAGGTAATGATCCAGCTTTCAGCATTGACCCATCAAGAAAGCCAATAATAAGATTTTATCAGATTTCTGAGAACTGATAAAGATCAAAATTCTTTGATGAGCAAAGCTAGCTGATATAACAGGTTTCCTAATTGCTAAACTCAGTGAAACTGCACATTTTAGTTACAACTCTCAAGTCCTTTCTGGAAAAAAAATGTAACAAAAGTATCAACATTTGTCAAATCATATTTTTGTAATTGTAATATGAAACTCTAAATCTAAAGCCTAAGGCCTAATTATAACAATATTTAAATATTAAAATATAGGCCTAGTTCCACTAGTATTGTAGACTTCATTTGGAAAGTTTTGGGTTCTAGATCTGATATAGGTTGGATTAGGCTGGATTTTTCACAGTTCAGAGAAATATGGCTATTTCTTCAAGTCAGCTAGCGTTTCATGCAAAATATAACTGGGAATAATACCTTACAATAACAAAAGCCTTTATTTTGACTGGGGAGTGAGGTATAGATTAAGACTAAGACAGCATTGCCATTTTGTTTTGATATTTTTATAAGAAAAATTACTATGGATGATCAATTATTCATGTTTCAATTGCCATTTTCTTTGAAGCAAAAATCTAAGCGACATGTCTTTTATATTTTATTATTGCTGCAAAGATGCCTGCAATCACGTCATAAATGAAAAAAAATTAAGGAAGTTATTCCCTATGTGAAAAATGGCAAAAAATAAAAGTTGGGGAATAAATTAAAATCAAATAAGGCCCATATGAAGCCATTTGAAGAGTTTGAACCAACAACATCCAGCCTGACATCCACACCATTGTTCCACCAGACCCCGCAGCTTCATGCATTAAAAGGCGTTTTAAGCATTAAATTTATTGAAAACAATCATGACTAGGAGAAGACACTTCGACAGACTAATAAAGTAATGTCGGCCTACTCGACTAAGGACAGAGTAAGCCTAATAAATGGTTGGGTCTAGAGTACTCTAGTTAGACTAGATCAGTAGATCTAGTAGATGTCACTTACAATAGGACAGAGGCGTAGCGACCCTTCCCAGCGCCCGGGGACAAACTTTCGATTTGCACCCCCCTCAAGCTACCTCGATAAAAGCAATGTCAAGCTTACATTTTTATTTTTCCAACCCATTTTGGCGCCCCCTAAGGTGGGCACCCGGGGACATATGTCCCCCCACCCCCCCTCGCTACGCTACCGCACTAGGATGCTAGAATCTAGATTATTCTAGATCTACCCATCTTTTTACTAAAGCAGGCCTTATTTTAAGTGCCCTCCTAAACTGGTCCTAAAGTGTTTAATATAATAAGTCAAAGAGATTTATGATTTAAGGCCTAGATCTAGATCTTAATTTTAATAATTTACTTTACACTTGTCTTAAACTAGATTCTAGATCTTAGAAATCTATGTTCGTTCGTGTTGTAATTTAAAATTTTTTTAAAATTATGAATAAATGGAAGAATAGACTTTTGAACAACACTGAACACACTTTTCTTTAGTTTAGTCTAGATATAGAATCTGGATTTCTAGTGGAGAAAGAGTCTCCAGTACTCTACCTTAAGTCCTAAAGTACAACAGTAGTCTATCCTACACAACACTAACACTAGACTAGAATAGATAGAAAGTCACTATCTCTAGAGACTAGAATAGATGACTAGATATTGGATTTTAATTTTTAGATCTTTAGGACTAAGTCTAGTTTGCTCTACAATAAACATGCATCTAAGTCATGTTGCTACAAAAAAAGCAACAGCAAGTAAAAATACTAACAGTGTTTTTCTTACAGAATCTATGCTTACCTATTCAAAATAATCCTTTCTTACCCCTACACTACTACACACCCAATACACCACTTTTGTACAGGGTAAGCATTTCTCATCAGAAGACAGACCGTGTGTAGACCAAACTAAATTTAGACAGTTGTCCAGTGCCAAAAATAGGTTTGAAATGTTATAAAAGTTACAATTCGATAGCACACCAAGTAGATTAATAATTTTAGTTTTTTTTTAAATTATTTATTATTAATTACTATATATAAGCAAATATGTATATTAAAATTGTTAAGCAAAACAGCATTGAATGCTTGATAAATTATCAAGATAATAAGCACGTTAAATAAAAGTAACAGCCAAACTAACTGGCCAACAATAGTTTCACAATTACCTTAGGTATTATGCACCTTGAATAATTAAGCAAATTTTTACATTAAAATAAAATGGCATTTAATTAAAATAAAGTATGAAATAAATAAATCGGCTTATATAGAATTTTTAAAAGATATCAAATCTATTAGATCTATGGAGTTAAAAAGATTAAAGTTTTTAGTTTTGAAATTTGGCTAAGCAGCTACTGGAATAGCCGTTCTATTGGTGTCATTGGGTCATTGACCCAAATGTGAAATAAACGTCATATCTGAAAGTTTTCACCCTCCCCTCCCCCCCCCCCCTCCTACAGTCTCCCATATAAAGATTTTTAAAATATTTCACAACGCTTATGTCTTTAAAATAACTATTTTTCAATAGTGTGGCGTGTGGTATAGCAATTAAAACAATATTTTAAAAAATCTTCTAATATTAGGGGGTCGTCCAAATGACGTCACACTCGTAGGGGGGAGAGGGGGGTCCGTAATTTTGTGACGGTGTGTGATGAGGGGGAGGGGTTCAGATGGTGTGATGTCATTTTTTTGCATTGTAAAAAAAGCAATGTTAGAAAATGAGTTAGCGGTTATTTCGTGTTTTAGAAAACGGTTTTAATAAATCGTAATAGGAATTGATCAAAATACTCTATGTTGACATAATTCTGACAAGATTTTTGGAAAAAATATAGATGTTTTAAGAAAAATTCAACAGCAATTTTGAGGGGGGGGGGGGGGTTGTCAGCTGAGGTGTGACGTCATTTTAGGGGGGGGGGGGGTCTGGCTTTTTGTGACGACGTGTGACGGAGGGGAAGGGGAGGGGGTGTGGGAGGTAAAAATAGTTTTTAAAAAGCGTGACGTCATTTATGGATGACCCCTTACTTCTATTAATGAAAACACTTAAAATACGTTGATTCATGAAAAAAATTCATAAAAATGTTTTAATAACAAACGTGTATATTATTATGCACTCAAAAGGAGGAAATAAATGATTTCCTTTAAATAACTATGCACTACTATTTAGATCTAAATAACTATGAAAAAAGCGTAGGTCACTACGGTAAATATTGAATACCTTTACTAAAATTTAGGAAGCGACACAGGCGTTTTTTATCTTCCAATGTTTCTTCCAGACTTTTTTCTCGGGGGTGGGGGGGGGGGGCACTTGAAGTTTTCGGGGGGGGGGGGGGGGGGGCGGTAGATTTTCTTCGGGGGGGGGGGGGGGCGGACACTATTAAAAGTATATTATTTCTATTTAAATGATATAAATTTCATTTCGTTCCGGGGGGGGGGGGGGGGGCGGTAAATTTTTTTCGGGGGTGGGGGCAAAGCCCCCCTTCCCCCGAAGAGATGCCTGGAAGAAAATCTGCCCCCCCCCCCCCCCGAAAAAATTCTACCGCCCCACCGAACGAAATGCAATGTATATAATTTATATTGAAAATATATACTTTTAACAGTGTCCGCCCCCCCCCCCCCAAGAAAGTCTACCGCCCCCCCCCCCCCGAAAATTTTAAGTGCCAAGTGCCTCCTCCTCCCTCCCCCCCCCCCGGAGAAAAAAGTCTGGAAGAAACACAGGTTTTTATTAATTAAAAACAAGATTATAGACAGCAGTCTACCCATTTTAAAACATGCTTCCGAAAGTTGATCTGGTTGACAGTATGAAAATAATATTTGGGTTTCTGCTAATAAAAAGTTATTTAAGTATATTTGAAAATGTTTCAAAGAGTAAATTTTAGTTTTGTAAAAAAAAAAAGACAGCTTTGATTAGCTGCTTAATAGCCTATTAATAAGAAATGCTAAGAAAGGTAAGCAAAATAATCAACAGAAAAAACTGTTTAGGCGCTGTTGTTTCCCCTTATTAACCAAATTTATTTATTTTTTACTGATAATGTGTGTCAAGTAATTTTTAAAACTAAGTTTTTTCGGCTATTTCGCTTTTAGGGGTCGTCCATAATGACGTCACATTTGTAGGGGGGAGGGGGGGGGGGGTCCGTAATTTGTGACGGTGTGTGATGAGTGGGAGGGGGGAGTTTCAGATGATGCGACGTCACACTTTTGCATTATAAAAAAGCAATGTTAGAAAAGGAGTTTTAGACGTTAGAAAACTGTTTTAATAAATTGTAATAGGAATTGATTAAAATACTTTATTTTGACAGAGTTCAGGCAAGATTTTGGAAAAATATCAATGTTTAAAAAGAAATTCAGCTGCAATTTTGAGGGGGTGGGTGTAGGCTGAAGTGTGACGTCATTTTTACGGGGGGGGGGGGGGTCTGGCTTTTGGTGACGATGAGTGACGGAGGGGAGGGGGAGCTAAAAATTGTCCAAAAAAAGCGTGACGTCATCTATGGATGACCCCTTATGTTATTTTTAAAACTTTTTTTAAAAATAAAAATGATCAATATTATTTATAGATCTATCTTATGCTTACCCAACTCTTTTTTTTAGAATGAAGCGGCTGTTCTAAAAAGGTAATAATATTGTTATTAGTTGAAATTGAAGGCGTGTGTGTGTGAGAGAGAGAGGTCTATGTGTGTGTGTGGGGGGGGGGGGGGGCTGGGGTGGGGGGTAGTAGATACATTAGCTTGTACAATATTTAGGCTTACATATTTTATCTAAAGGATGTCAGTGGATTTTTTTTTAAATTTTACGATGTATTTTAGCTTTAGATTGAGACATAGGACGTCAGTTGTTCCGTTGAATGATTGAGACATGACAATGGTCAAGACGCATCAGCAGCATAGAAACTTGTATGGGACACAGTGGCGTAGGGAGGGGGGGGGGGGTTAGGGGGGGTCATAACCCCCCCCCCCCCCCCCCCATAATACCTAAGACCCCATAGACCCCTCGGTATATAAAAAAGTATGAGCGGGGGGGGGGGGGTGTGCAAATCGAAAGTTTGTCCCCGGGTAAAAATTGGACCCCCCCCCCCCCCGCCCCTTGAGACGATCCTGGCTACGCCACTGATGGGACATGACCAATGGTCAGTGGTTCAGCAGCGTCAAGGCGCATCAGCAGCCTAGAAACTTGTATGGGACATGAAATCCCAGGAACACAAGCCGCTAATTAAGACGGTAATTAAATTAATTAGCGCAGCCAGATGATGCTGTGAGGTCTCTTTCAGGACCAGCATGGTAGCTGCAGTATTCAAAGTATACCAGTAGCTGCAGTATTCAAAGTATACCAGTAGCTGCAGTATTCAAACAAAGTATACCAGTAGCTGTAGTATTCAAAGTATACCTGTAGCTGCAGTATTCAAACAAAGTATACCAGTAGCTGTAGTATTCAAAGTATACCAGTAGCTGCAGTATTCAAAGTATACCAGTATCTGCAGTATTCAAAGTATACCAGTAGCTGTAGTATTCAAACAAAGTATACCAGTAGCTGCAGTATTCAAACAAAGTATACCAGTAGCTGCAGTATTCAAACAAAGTATACCAGTAGCTGCAGTATTCAAAGTATACCAGTAGCTGCAGTATTCAAAGTATACCAGTAGCTGCAGTATTCAAACAAAGTATGCCAGTAGCTGCAGTATTCAAACAAAGTATACCAGCAATTTGCAACCTTAATAGCAGTGTTTCTTTCAGACATTTTTCTCCGGACTAGAAAAAATAAAGCGATGAGTTGTTTTTGTCGTGACAAATCGATCCGATATATTAAAAAAAAAAATCCCTCCCTAATAAAACCAGGTATTATTTGCATTATGCTTACTACAAGCAGTGTTTCTTCCAGACTTTTATCTCCGGGAGGGGGGGGGGGGGGCGACTACATAAAATCCAAGGGGGGGGGGGGGGGGTAGGGGGCGACTACACTGGTAAAGTATGTTTTCTGTATAAATTCCATTTCCTTCGAGGGGGGGGGGGGGGGTAGACTTTCTTCTCTGATTACAAGTGCAAGAATACTTTATGGGGCGTTCATAAATGACGTCATACACAGTAGTTATCTCGCGTTTTAGAAAACTGTTTTTATTAATTGCAATAGGAGTTGATTAAAATACTCTATGTTGACTGAGTTCAGACAAGATTTTTCAAAAATATCGTATTTTAAGAAAATTTTAACTGCAATTTTGAGGGGGATTGTAGGCTGAGGTGTGACGTCATTTTAGCGGGGGGGGGGGGAACTGACTTCAAAAGAAGCGTTACGCCATTTATGGATGACCCCTTAATGTCACATGACCTACTGCACGTATACAAATATACAATACGCAGAAAGTTTGTACAAATAGTTAGAGAAAAATGAACTATCGTAGTAAAAATAAAAAAGCCCACAGGACTGAAGGTAGTCTAAATTTTTTTGTAAAACATAATTATTTTAGCTTGCAAAATGCAAAGAAAACTCTGGCCACATAAATCCACATCTAAATTCTGCGGAAGCAGCGCATGCGAAGGTAAACAAACCTGCTGTAACAGACTTGAGATTACGTTGGACTGTTGATGATTGTATTAATACAATACATATTTAAAGTAATATACGGTAAGTTAAATGTCAACAGTATTTTGAGTGAACACCTTAATTGATTGTCTATTATAATATAACAGCCTGAAAGTAATTAGATAGATCTAGATTTTAATAAATTAATAATGTTAAACCAGCAGTGGCAGCTGTCGATCAGCTGGGTGCGGTGACCGCGGTGAACTTCAACTTGTTGTCCTTTTAAATTTTAATGTGTTAGGTAGGCCTACTTCTACTTCATCTTAGATTAGTAGACTCTTAGGTTTAAGTTATGTCTGGCTTATGTCATGATTATCATGTGTGAATTATTATTTTAA